TCAATTCATAACTTGAGAATAAAGACATTTATTTATTTATAAGTGGGGGAGTTTCTGGCAGAGGGTTTATATCTGTTTCAAGGCACTGATTGAGATTATTAGGATGCTTCGTTGAACAGGGGTTAGGCGTTTGCGATACATAAGATGTCTGAATGTTCGATATGCAACCCAGCAGCACATTGTGACCAACATGATTTAAGAAACGCGGTTGGAAGGGGTGTCTCTTGTGATGCACCTCTGAGTTATCGCGGTATTCATTTCTGAAAGGAGTTTGGTAGAAAACCTGCCTTCTGGGTCTGCGTATTGGCAGCACCTTGGCCATGAAGTGTTCCCCTCCATAGTTAGAAAACATGCGCCCAAAACCGTCCTTCTTTATGAACGTTTTAGCTTTATTGGGGGGGTTTCGCAGACGCGTCTGAGTTTTCTGTCACCCCCGCGGGTTCCAATTTACAGTGGCCTTAGGGGGGAAGGTACCAATGGTTTTCTTTTAACGAGCAACTGAAGGATCGGGTTCACTTGCTTCTGCACTTGATTGAGAACGTTGTAACGAGGAAGAGGTACATCCAACGGAATTATTAGCCATGCCACCCCCTTTTCACAGTCTAATGGTCTGTTCATGCACGCAGCGGCCACTATAGCAATGTGCTCGAGTTTCCCATAAGTGCCCATAGCTTAAACTAGCGCTTGCGCACAGGTTTTCTGCACACAAGCAAAAGCTAGCCCCAAATCCCGTGCTAATCGTAATAATATCTATTCCTGAATATGCAGACACACGCCATTTTCATGGACATGAAAAAGTTTATATATAAATTACATGTATCTTCATGGAAGGCGATCTCAATCCTCACCTATTGTCACTAGGAGATATGAGTACTGCGCGTTCACACAGTGGAACATCCCGGCAGAATAGGTATGCAAAAATTTACAAGTTGGACAAGCAGAAGTACTGTCCCCGCATTGACAAAAAGAGCCAAGTTTGTATCTGGACACTACATATATTGCCCGGAGAAAAATGAAGCTTGAAGCTAATACTTCCACTGTGACAGTTTGTACTTTTTGCTTGAGATAATGATGACAGTTTATGAAGGAATGTATGCACAAGTTGTTTATTTATTGTACTTCGTTGATTTTTCCAGAAATGCGTAATTCGTGTATGTTACTACTATTTTTTATCAGAGATTCATAATCTTGATGAATATTGCGACTGAGATCCAGATACGTTCATTTTTCAACCTCGGCATCCAGAAGCTATAGACTTGTTTGAATGCGCCAAATAGACTTCCAGGAAGTCCTGTCCGACGTTTTCATGGGTCGTGACAGCCTTGCAGTTGGCGAGTGTTGGACCTTGCCGGTTACTCTTTTAATGAGTACATCTAAGATTTTGGTAATTAGGAAGTTGTAGTCCAGTGGATATTTTTTGTTTCTGCTTGTTGTAGTTAGGTATTGTGAACGCCTTGATACTGGTTAGCGTCTGCCCATAGAGGCACTAAACGGCAACGGATGTGCCCACTGGCCGTCCGTAAATTATGGCATTAGATGTACCTCAGTCCAGTCCAAGGGTATTGTTGGGGTGTATAGGTAACACCTTTGCTACTCTAAAATCGGAGCGCATCCGTGGTTTCTTCCTACATGTCATTCGGTGCTCCCCCTTTCCGGAAGGCATTGGAGCCGAATTACCAATGCTGAATGACGGAAGCAAATGAAGAGATGTTGGCATTTTAGGTGGCATTATTCGCGGACAACCATCACACTTAAATAAAATATTATATTGCAAGCCACTTTGCCATGCATCTTCAAAGAGGGTCAACAAACTGTTGCACCAATAGGGCCAGGAGCTTTAAATCAACACGGAAGGTGTAAGCCAGGAAGTGAAAGGGATTGAGGAGTTAATACTTAACCACAACCTTCGGGTTTTACGCCAAACTTTGTTAAGACTCACAAGAGGAAGGTAAATATCCATGTCGGTGAATCTTGGGACACCATGGGGACAACGTCGAAGGGTAACAGGATCTGTACACTTGAAACTGGAACCACAGGCCAAAAAGATTTTAAAAGTTGGCATAGTGAGTGGCAACAAGGCACGGAGGAAAAAGTGAAACGGATGGTATGTTTTCAGCAGCGAGTTATTTTCCAAAACCATTGGCCGTAGGCTCAACAATGGGTAAGTAACATGCTATTTTTCGGCCCAAGCTACATAACTAAGCATCTACGCCATTCGTAATGTCGTTATATTACGCTGTGTTGCTTGTTCATAATTCCCATATCCAACTATTTCACACATGTCGGCGCACTGACGCGACTCGTCAAATATGCAGTAGACACCTTACCATCCTTTCCAAACCTTACACTAACGTGTATTCGACGGGAAAACAGAATTGGTGGTCGACGTCTGTGTCTAGCAAGATCCTATGTGGAGAACTAACAAACACTCGTGCCCACCAATGGGTTACATGTGTACTCCAACGTACGGGGCCTGATGTTTTGGCCTAGATGTGTGTCTCACTGCTTAGGCGTGTTGTTGTGTTGACATCTTTAGGCGGATAGCTACATATGCGACGGGACAATTCGCCACACATCTCAGACCCTCAGAAGGTTCTGCACGACCTAAAACCGAAGAACAAGGGAGGTTCCATGCCAAGAAAATAATTCAAACGTCATCTAGTTGCTGCGATGTAACTGTAAGAATAAAATGCGCCCGAAATATCATCTAGTTAATGATACTTTGTCAATGTATCATATCAAATAAACTGATGAGATGCCGAATTATACTCCAGCATTTTGTGAAAGTCTTGAGTTTGAATTTTTGGCAGTTTTGCAAAGCTCACGCAGAAATCAAAAAATTTAGTTTTTCCCTCTGCTTAGAAACAGTGAGGACCACTCAGAAGGCAGCCGGAGTTGATCCACCAAATCAGTTCGTAGTCTAAGGTTTGAACGATATCAGGAACGCGCGGTGATAGTTGGCCTGTATATTTTAAAAGGCAGAGGACTGCATACTTGTTCAAAATAACATACAGCTTTTAAAATGACCAATTCACTTGACTCATCGCACACTTAAGCCAGACAGTACAACCTGCCTTAGCGGATATGTTCGTAAGATGGGGATAAAGAGGCACGATAGGGGTCAGGGATAAAAATGTACTCCCCTAGTTTTCTGACATTTCAAAATTTACCTTGAAGAAGACTGGCAGAAGTGATTACGATGGGCAGCATTAGACGCGCATTTAGTGCTCACTTTCAGGATTATATAGAGCCTACCGACTGATTTACTTTTCGCCCAGTTCTCTTTCTTTCCAACACCCAGCTTTTATAATATGAATAATGCTCCTAACGATTCTCAGACTCAGAACCTTGTCATGCAGGTGCTTCAGTTTCAGTATCTAATAACTAGACTCATACCACCTACTTCTGCCTCTGGGGAACCAGCAATATACGTTTTTCCCATTATCCTGCCACTCTTATTTAGTCACTGATACAGACGGGAGTCATAAAAGACCGCTTGTCATCCCGGCAACCCGTAGCTTCCTAACCAATTCAACCTACGGGCTGCGAATATCAACCGGCAAAAATTCATCTCACTGAAGCTCAAAGCAGGAAAGTTGATGAGATTTCTTTTCCTACTGCAGCGGCAAGTCGAACAACAATAACCAAGCTTCAAGAACTACATAGCATAGTTATAAGGATGGCAGATCAACCTGTTTGTGTGAATCCTCGCAGTAGGTTTCCCTACGAAGATTTGGTTACTCTCTGTATGCGCTCGACGAAGGAGCCGGTACCATTTGTTTGGGTTGAGCTTTCCACCCGTTGATCACTGTGTGCGAGAAGCCTGAGCTTACGCTGAGTTGATCTTATCGTGGATTTTGGATTTTCCTATAGTGGCCTCCTTTGGGGAGAGAATAAATGAGAAATATGAATCCATGGGTTATCCCTAAGAACACGGGTTGGCAATATTAGATCCTCTCTTCTTCTGTAGGGGGGCGACGAGAAAACTTTTATCCTTTCTAAACGGTCGTCACAGGATGCGTTAAATACTCCAGCAAGGACCAAGTCTTTGAATGAGCTCTGGTGTTTTGGCATCCTTTATGAAGCAGTGAATGAGCGCTCCACTGAAATATTCGAGGCGAGGTGGCACAGCTGTGGGGCACAACATCCTCACATGCCTTCATCGAGTCATTTGAATTCCCTACGAAGATGACACAGTACTCGGAACACCCCTGATGCAGCTTCAGCGCATCGTGCATACGTTTTCAAGTTGTGACCAATGATAACTCCCAAGTCTTTAGTTCATAGGATGTTCTGTGGTGGTGCCCCGTCTATTAGAAGCTGATGACAGCTGCTACGGCCGAAAAAGCATAACTTCGTTTTTGCCAGAATTAATTTCCAGGCACCAATGCTTGTACCAATTTTCTAGTGCATGTATATCCACTTTTACTGAACATCTGTCGTCATCGTTAGGAGTGAACTCCCGAGTTTCCTCATTTTCAGAAGATAACGGTGCTGGGGATTTAATCACATCCAGGAATTCATCGATACAAGCAAGAATAGGAGAGAGTCTAAAATTGTTACTTGAGAGACCCCATTACTTCCAGGTGGCTATTTAGTGCATCATTCACTCTCGCTCCTTGCTTGCTACTTCATAAAAGTCCTATGATCCAGGTCTGTGTTGTGGCATCAAATCGGAGACCTGAAAGCTTTTTCACTAATCGGAAGTGGGAAACCTTTCGTAAGCCTTATTGAAGTCAATGAACCTAACATCTACGAGCATCTTGTTATGACTGGCTGCTATCTTTTTCTATTTTTCTGTGAGGGGACCGATTGGGCAGTGATTTAAAACCAACAATTTCCTGCAATCACACTTTAGATGTTTGAGGTTTGATCAAAATCTGAAAGCTTTTTAATGTATCGGATGGCACCAAGTGACCTTGGTAGAGGTTTCGTCCTTTCCAAATAGAAGTCGTGACTGTTGTTTTTTTTTCTGGGTGGTTTGAAGAGACCAGATAAAAATGGACGACTTCATAATCAATATATCTGGCACCAATTCAACAAGTGTTTCTGATAAGAAGAACTCAATGGTTTCTTGTGCTTATTATCTGCCTAACCTTCTTTAGAATAAATCTAAATGTGATCTTGGTGAGAAAACGCCAACCGTGATCCGTTCGATCAATACTCCGCGGCCTGTCAAAATGGAGAAAGCATCACTTTCAGTGAAAAGTAGAAATAAACTTCACGACCAGGGCGCACAAGAGAAATCTCAAACGAGCAACTCCTTGCAGTTTGGTATTGACAATAAAAGTCTCTCAGCAAAAGGCACAGTGCTAGATGAAATGATGAAGTGAGTTTATACGGCTTCTTGTATTATGGTTGTCTGTTAATCCAAAAACGGAGTGAGACACTTATTAGCTGTTACTTATTTCTAGATTACTAACTGACTAGCATCATATTTATATATTTTTCACATAAGGTTATCTGATTGGAAGAATGTCTTAGCTACCACTTGTGACTGGTCAAGGTGTGTAGCAACCTTTTGACATGTGCGAATGTCTTGAAATTGTCGTTCATCGTTTTTGGAACGTTTTATATACGACTTTATACACCCGTCAGTACAAACATATTATCAGGATTTAGTTACTCCAACATATAATTGTATAGTAAATAACAAGTTATCATCTGCCTCCAACATCAATAATGCTAGCGTAGGAAACCGAGTTACTGACCTCTCGCGTCTGGTTCTTGGAGTTTGGTTGTTCGGTTTGTTCCTGTAGTAGGTAAGGAAGTTTCATCTGCTTTCCTGCTTTTAGCTTCAGTGAGATGAATTTTTTGTGGGTTGGTATATGCAACTGTAGGTCGAGTTGGTTAAGGAGCTTTGGTTTACTGGGACGGTCAGGAGTCTTTCGTGACTCCTGTCTGTATAGGTGTACGAAGTAGATAGTATGAGCCTAGTTACTGCAGAAGTTAGTGGGTAATCCAGGTGTATCAAAAACATAAAGATGGTGAGTGCTTCGTAAGAAAAAAAGTAGTGATGGGCTATTGAGGTTGGTAATGCCTTAGGTATGTCACTGGTAAGCCGTACTAAATAACTTAACTACCTAGCCTTTTAAATGACTACTAAAGAGGCTGTGTTTGCGTTCCGCGGCAGAGCATTCCATAAAGTACATACTATTAAGGTAACCAATTTTGACGTAGGCTTGTTTTTACTTCTTTCATTTGGTTCCCTCGTAATGACCGTCATGTTGCCGGAAAGGTTAGTTATTTTGCGTGACTTACCTGATGAATGATCTTAGTCCATAATAAGGTCTCCCCTCTTTCTGCAATAGCCCGAAGTGGATAAGTTTAGGTTCCTCAGTCTGTCAGAGTATGTCTTCTCCCTTAGTCTAACAACTGGTTTCGTCGCAGATCTTTGTATCTTTTCAAGGAGATTGGAGTCTCTCTTGGGTGTTTGGGGGTGCTACCGTATTCAAGACGTTTGCATGCGGCCGTACAGATGATTTGGAAGTCATTGAAAACAATTCACTTTACTTTGTAGCAATGTTTGTCAAGCATATACGCTTTCAGCATTTCATTTTCAAACAGTTTTATGTGTTACTTAAGAGGTACATTTCTGTTTCTGTTTTTCGTTAGTTATGTGCATGCAGGTCTCTTATTAGAAGCGTTCGTAGACGGTATACCTACAGGTAAAAGCGCTGACAAATAATTCTTTTGAAATATCCTTAACGATGTTTCGGTCCTGTTGCGTTTCGCACTTGTGCAACACAGAATGGCACTTAGCGTTCGGTTTTTATTTGTAGCCTCATACCATTTGGCCTAATCAAACAGTATAATAACTGGTTGCCATCACTTTCCCAATATAAAAGACATACAACTTGAGGTATGCATTGTCTCTCAATTCTTTTGTAATTCCCTCTATACAGTCATCCAGTTAAACCCAAAATTGAACCTGTTTTCTCTTCAAAATACTGGAAAAATGTATGTGAGTCATTGAATATCTTCCCACATTTGACCTCTTGCCTGCTTGACCGGTTCAAACTTGACCACTTAACTGCTATTCAGGAAGCTACACTTCCTCCTCTAGTCGACGGAAAAGATGTGTTGGTACGTGCTCAAACAGGTTCAGGAAAGACATTAGCATATGCTGTTCCGTTGTTCAATCGATTAATCAGCCTTGATCCTCCCGTTGAACGTAGGATGGACCTCTTGGACTAATTATCCTTCCTTCTAGGGAGCTGGCAACGCAGACATATGATGTTTTCAAGATGCTATCACAGGCTTGTATACGTATTGTTCCAGGACTGCTGATTGGAGGAATGAAGCGCAAATCACAAAAAGCGAGGTGGGTTGCCGCTAATAAATAATTTTCACGTTTTCTCCCGAAGTTGTGTTTTAATTACAAGTTCCAGTAGATCATTGTAAACTTTCTATGCATCAGGGCGCATCTACATATCCCGTGTAATAATGTACGCAGTAGGAAGATATAGTTCCTGATCAACATGTACGTAATTACTTCGAATATTCTGGATCAAAACCACGTTTAACTAGTTGCTTTCCTATCTTCCATACTGTTGTCCTTTTCCAGTTGCAATTAAAGGGTTAGTATCGTAGCTGTCGAAATCTAAGATTTGTAAAGGAAAAGTAGCGTTCATGAGTAATGCCTCATACATTGCGCATAACGCTACAGGAAATCTTGTTCTCCCTTCAGCAGCTGCCTCTTTGTCTATGTTTATATAAGTAGTAGAATCTTTGTTTTCTCTATTGTAAAGTTTTGAGTTTCACTTGATCATCTATTTTGGACTATTGTCACCACATCATCCTAAGGTGAGTTCCTGTTGTAAACGGTGAATAGTTGAGGTAGATATTGTACTACCGAACGGCTCTGCCTAGTAAACTTTCATATAAATAATCTTGGTAAATGACATATCTTTGTAACAACGCATATAGAGCATCGAACAAATAAAGTCGAATTAGGTCCAGTTATGTTTATATCCATTTAGTAAAAAGTATACTTATACCTAACGTTGATACTTTCTACATCAAATTCAGAAATTGATACTCATCTCCTAATTGCGAAAATGTTCAACGTGCAGCATACTTTGCTGCTTACAGCATCCATAAAAATATTCATTCAAATCTGAATTAAACTTGTAAATGATGGGTGGCTATAACCAGGGCACTGTTGTACTAGGTTTTCATTGACACTAGAAATCGGTAAAACAAAACATGAGGCAAGTAAAATTTGTGTTCTTGATTGCTTAACTACTTTTGAAGTAGTTAGAATTTTTCACTTACAAAGATTACTGTCTGTATTTGCCATTCATCCACTACATTTAATCTGGCTAAGATAATGAGAGGGCATGTTTTTCAGCAATTAGTATTCACAAATTATGGGCTTTAAAAAGTGCAATGGATTCGTTTCAGTCGCTCACTTTCCCAACAGCTAGCGACAAGTTAACATCAATGCAGAATCGTGAGCAGATCAATAACTGATATAATATAAATAACAAAGGAAATATTGTATTATAATAAATAGCAATAAAATCGTTCACGTTGTAGATATTTTGAAGTATTCATGATCGATTGATCCGTCAAAATAATGTATGTCCATGGGACTGAAGTTGTTGACCTATTGCACTCGAGTTATTAGTGTTTAAATAAAAAGCAATGCAAGTGATATCCAGAAAAATGATCACTGACTTCTTTCAAAAGTAATAAAACAGCGCTCTTACTTAAGTATGAATAATAACATAAAAGAAACTTATTACATATTATGTTTGATGATAAACAGTTAATGACAAGAATGACCATTAAGTAGTCAGGGATTTCTCGACGATAATTTTGGGGCTGGATTTCTATCTTATGTAACAGTTGTAGACATGGGGCTGCAACAACACTTACTGTTCTACACGTTTATGAAATGTCTATTTGAAATTCTTAGGAAACAGAATAATAGAATTGTGTAGACTAATAAGACGTTTATTAATTAGGTGACAAAAATGAAACTAAAGTGAGTGTAAGACGAAAAAACTAAAAACCAATGCCAAACGACATGAAAATAAAACAAAAACTCAAAACCAGTCGTTTTGCTCAATATTCACAGTATATTTTGCGAAATAAAGTAAAGGTTCCTTGTATAGGTAAGCTTTAGTATAATCCTAGTGTATTTAGAAAATCGAAAACAAGATTTTCTAAACATACTGGGATTATATCAAAACTTACCTATATAATGAATCAGCCTGACTCGGCGCTCAACTTCTTTCAAGACATTCACAGCAACTATGGCCTGGATGTTTATAAAGTAAAGGTTTCATAGTCAAAATCAAAATAGTTGACCAAAATATGTTGCACTGCGGAATAGTCCATTTTCAGATACTATGCTCACAGTATCTCAACATAGCCAAATCTTATTTGTTTCTGGATTGATAGCCATGAATGTGTAATAATTGCTTTTTGTATGATTCATCGTACACCTATAATCGTCAAAATTCCTTAAGGACACTGAAAAGCTAGTAACCAAGCAACTACTCATCCTGATGTTTTATCATGTCCTTACACATGCTAAAACTCATATTTTTAAGTGTTTGCTTACTGTTTATTTAACCGACCTAATGAATCTCTTCGTTTTAAAGTGAAACTAAAGCTCTTGGTAACCAAAAGGATTTCGAATTGCACTTTACTGTCTATGGTAAGAGTTATTTAGAAATTCGGTGGATAAAATGCATTTGGTTTAAGGATTTTATCACTCAATGGTGTCATTTTTGACATGATTTTATTGCAAAAGTAGTTATCGTATCACTCACTAGTGTCATGATTACCGTACTCTATAGAATGTAAATTTCGGTGAGTATATGTAAACCATAGGTATATAAGGCCATCTTGAAGCCACTATCGATTAACTTATATATTTGACTTCTAACCATCCAGTCTAGAGTTGTTTGGTTTTCCAGCCTAGCGCATCAGTATGCCCGTGGTCTCCAACTCACGCGTATATTACATTGTCAACTTGTAACTTCCTAATATTTTTTTAAAATTTATATTTTAGCCTGAGGAAGGGTATTAATATTGTAATTGGCACACCAAAACGCATTCTAGATCACATAGGACACACTACCACACTTGATCTACAAAAAATACAGTGGCTGGTTATAGATGAAGCAGATCGTTTGTTAGAAATGGGGTTTGAACGAGATGTCAGGCGTATTGTTGAAAAGTTGGTGCAACAATCTAATTCTTTCACTAAGGAAAGTGACAGCGTACCAAAGACTCAAACCGTTCTTTTGTCCGCTACATTATCACCTGGTAAGCTTTGTAATTTTGTTCATTTTACATTTACTATTGAAAAAAGAGCTCAGAAATCTGAAGAATTACCATTTAAAGAATACGTTAGTATTATCGCAATACAAGAATAGAAAGGTTAGACAAAAGTGCGTAACAAACCAAGAGGAACTCTTACTTAAACGCGTGTACGAACGAGGCGTCATTATATTGCATTTCATTGTGCTTTCCATATAAAGAGGCACATTACAAATATGTCCTCATTTTTTCGATTATGAGTCAAACTGAAACGAAACGCACTCAGTTACATTGTGCACATCCGTACAGTAGGCAATGAGACACACCTGTTGTGTGAGGGTTAGTGATACCACCTGGCTACCCAAACCTCGGCATTCGGAGCAGGGTTCGAAGCTCAGACCCCCTGGTTAGTAGTCATCTTCCTAAACCACTGGTCCATTATCTTAGTCTACAGAGTTTCATGGTCCTTCGGACCCAACCCACAGGAGTAATATATCAGAATGTACTTTCAACGCTTATCCCATCGGATTTTCATAAACCAATTCTTTATGGGTTTTGCAGCCCACCCATGGTTCAGCAGTTAGCTCCTCATGTATATATATATATATATATATATATATATATATATATATATATATTTCAAGGTAGTATTCATTACTAACTGACACCAGTTGAAGAACTGTTGAAAACCTGGGAGTACTGGATGTATACTGCCGTGAAATTGAAATCCCCACTAACTTCAAAGTACGTTACTGTATAGTGCTCATTAGCGATATGCTTCAAGATGGATATCCCCAAGTCTTAATGAGAAGCTGTGACCTGTGGGGTCGACCAGTAGGGAGTGAAACAGATGTGCTATACATAGAAATGATAGAAGTAGGAAACTGTGAACTATTTAATTCCGACTCAGTGGCTGAGTGGTTAACCTGTTCGCCAGGAAACCTGAGGGTCCTGAGTTCCATCCGTAGCCCAGTCGTGAGTGCATACTGCTGAAGAGTCCCACGATGGGCTAAAACAGTACGCCAGTGTTCCAAGTTCTTCAACGGTTCTCTAACTCGTATCAGTCCGTGATGAATACTACTACTTTAAATTAACCATATATATATATATATATATATATATATATATATATATATATATATATATATATATATATATATATATATATATATATATATATATAATTTTTATTTCATTGAAGGAGTAGAAGCTCTTGCTGGTCTGACCTTGAAGAACCCTGTTCGTTGCGTGGTTGGTGAAAGTAGAATGGAGTCTTCCAATACTCATCTCTCTATGCCAACAGACTCTAGAGAAGGAACAAATGGACAAATAAACGACGTCGCTGAATTTTCCCTGCCTGCTGGATTAAAACATTTTGTGCTGGTTGTACCCTGGAAACTGAGACTTGTATCACTAGCAGCTTTCTTGCTACTGAAGTGTAGGGTAAGTTATCTGTTGTTTGTCTTCAGAAGATTGACAGTTCCCATTACTTATTTTACATCTCGATATGGTAGTACAAAATCAGCAGCAATTATTTACCATACCAATCCGGTAATCGCAATGTGATAATCAGCTCTAGACAAAGTTATATTGGATACACAATCATACGGTTGAACTTCTGATTGTTACTCAGCTTTGATCACTTATATTATTATTATTTGTCCCTTGGGTTCCTAATGGAACGTAGGGCTTCAATAGCACGTCTCCAATGCGCTCTGTTCTCTGAAATCTTTTGAACCTGGCTCCACGACAGCCCACAAGCTCTCATTTCCTCCTCGCACGATCTCCTCCATGTCACCCTCACCTCGACGTCCAACTCGTCGCTTCCCATGGGGATTCCACTCGAGAGTCTGGCCTGACGCATGATGTCCCCAGTCGGCCTTCTCAGTGTATGCCCAATCCACTTCCACTTCCTTCCAGTGCATATTTGTTGAGCGATAGCTTCTTGGTTGGTTCATTGCCAGACCAGAGCTCCTTGTTGCTTATTCTTTCTGGCCATCTGATCTTCAGTAGCGAGCGTAAGCAGTTGTTGATGAATGTCTGTAGTTTATTGGAAATCACTTTCGTGGCGCGCCAAGTCTCTGAACCATACAGAAGCACTGACTTGACGTTGGTGTTGAAAATCCGGATCTTGTTCCGCATGCTAAGTGCAGAAGATCTCCACACTGGTTTCAGGTTAATGAACGCCTGTCTTGCTGTGTTTCCGATTCTGACTTTGACATCCTCGTCTTTACCTGTGGCGTCTGTAGTTGAAACAGTGCTTTCTAGATAGGTGAAGGAGGCTATTTCCTTTAAGTTTCTCCTATTGATGGTGATTGGAGTTTGTTGTTGTTGGTGGTGCTGTTGGTTGGGTATCTTCATCACTTCTGTCTTCTCTACGTTCCATCTTCGCTGCCTCTTCTGACAACTTGTTGATTTTCGCCTGTAGATCTTCAAGTTTGTGTGACATCAGACACAAGTCATCGGCGAAATCCAAGTCTTCTAGGTTCTTTTCCGAGGTCCAGCCAGCGTATCCTCCTCTTCTCACTCCTTACTATTTGTCGCATGATCCAGTCGACCACAATCAAGAATATCATAGGTGATAGTAGACAACCTTGTTTCACTCCTGTCTTCACTTCACTTCAGTGGCATCACTGAGCTTTCCATTGTGTTGTGAATTACTTGGCTGGCACGTGGCATCTTCATATAGTTGTTGAATGAGGTTGATAAAGGTTTGTGGCACTCCATAGGATTGAAGCAGTTTCCAAATTACTTCTCGGTCGACGCTGTCAAAGGCCTTTTCAAAGTCAATGAAGTTGAGGTAGAGGGTTAACTGCCATTATATATTCTGTTCTATGATGATGCGAAGAGTTGCAATTTGGTCCGCACATGCTTTGCTTTTCCTGAATCCAGCCAGCCAGCCTGTTCCGGTAGTAGTTTTGAATCCAGCACATCCTTTAGTCTCTCCAGGATGATGCAGCTTAATATTTTGCATGCTTTGGGTGGACGGGAGCATGATTCAGTGCGACGGTCTGTGAAATGGATAGTATACCAATCACTTCGACAAATAGGTCAGCTGGCCTAATGCTTTACTAGCACCAACCCCAATGTCTTTCGTCCTATAGTCAGTTAGCACCGACCCACGTAACTAAGCGGAGGTCCAAAAGGAACTTCAAGTACCAAAGTGTACAGAAGTATACGGCCTAGACAACCTAATCCCGGCTCTTTTTTAAGGTTGAAGGTGAGACACTAGTCAGAGAACTGACTAGTGTGTGAGAAAGTATGTACAGTTAGACGGTTTCATCACTGTAAAATGAATCTATTGTTGTACTTAATTTTAAAAAGCTTCTACATAATGTATGTAATCATCATCAGAGTATCAGCCTGAAATCTTGGCTGCCATCATGCGATGAAAAACACGTGAGAATATAATCCATGAGGAGTAGAGCAGGTTTTTTTCGGGTCGTGGATGCGTTGATCATGTTCACACTTTGCCAGATGCCGGAACACGTTCACAAGTATTGCAGGCCAATGGTCGTTGTGTTTCTCAATATTAGAGCTGCCTTCGACTTGTTGGACAGGGTTGTACTGTGAGTTATCTGCTAGGGCGGGGTGTCCCTTAAAAGTTTGCCAATATCTCGATAAACTTATACTTCCACACCCCGGGTAGATTGGGGGCATACACCGACCCCTCTCCAATGTTCCAAACCAAAGGTGTGGTTAGGCAGGGTAACTTAATTTCGCCCTTCCCGTTTAACTTTTCCATCGATGACATTTCCGAAACAGACCTCAGGGAAGTGCTTGGTGATGGTGCAGACTTGCTTTTAGGTGAAAGACTTTTCCACCTCAAGTATGTAGACAGTATCCTTTTCTATGCAATAACACAGGATCCTCAAATCGCACCCAGTGGGAAATCAATGTGGTTTGCACAATTGAAGTGCAAAGTGCTTCTATCAGATTTCCAAGAGCCTGTACCCGCTATCACCTTTATTGATGAATCACTAAAAGTTGTCGAGAATTTTGTGTACCTGGATAGTTGTGTGTTGTGATGAAAGTGTGAGTACTAAGATTTACAACCGTTTATCGAAAGCCAGAATGGCATATGCCAATCTGGGTCACTTTCGGTGCCGTCATGATGTTGACTTGCTATGAAAGGTTGGGTATACAATGTGTCGATGTGGATTGTTTTACACTGCGCATATGGAATTTGGCCTTGCCGAGCTGAGGATATTCGATGACTCCACGTTTTCCCCTCAAGATTGATCACATCCAGTGGAAACAGCATATAAGTAGTTCTGAGTTAAGGCGATGTGTATTTGGATATGATGGAGATCGTCGTTTACCGAATATGTTTATCATGAAACAGCAGCTTTGGTGGCTTGAAAATGTGTTACTCATGTCGTCCCAGATGCTTCACAGTGTTCACTGTCCCCTTACCCTGAGACTAATTAGAGGAAATGACGAGGTGCCAGTGTATCATGTCTTGCCTTGGGATGAAGAATAACTATGTTAGGTCAACATATGTAAATGCCTCACGACCCCCTGGATAAGACCTCAGTAACCCCAGACAATTGCAGGTGTGGCTCAAAATTGAAATCAATGGCGGTTATGCTGCAGATATTTTGTCTCTTCTATCAATAAAAATTGAAGCGAAAGTAGTGGACACTTCTTGAGATGTATCTTTGGTGCTACTTCTTTAATGTTCCACTTCTGTATCGTGATCCTTCATATTTTTGCTTTATTACTTTGTGTGTTATATCTCTAAGTGTCTATGTCATACCAAATTTTTATTAGAATAATAATAACAGTAGTAATCATACTTACATGATATTGAAACGAGAAACTTGAAAGCATCAACCCTCTGAACTTGACATCCATAGAATAATAAAAAATTGAAAACACTTTGTGTGATCAACCTTGAACAGTCAATTTATACACATGTCCCTAATATACTTCTACTAGCTTTGATCAGTCTCTAACAAACTAGTTGCATTATGTTTACATACAATTAGGACAGATATTGCAAGGTTCACCACTTTACAGCCCTATAATCTAACCTGTTTTTTTTTACACATTTAAGCATTCAGAGAGTACAAACCATCTATAGAAACTCTTCATGATAATGGAAGTTGAAAGATTTCTCCAACCAATTTTCTAATAATAATGGTCAATCATCAGATTTTATTTTTCTGCCGGTTGTTAAACAAAATCATACATCATATTATGACTTATTACTTCTTGTTGTTTATCAATGACCGTTAAAATATAACCTTCTTAGTGGATGCCTCAGTATTGCCGATAATTTCATTCATCATATATATTTATTAAAAATGAATATCATATCTCATGTAACTGTCAAATCAACTATTTTATCTGACAGTACTTACATGATTGTTTATTATATCTCATTCATACTTTTGATTTCAAAGTTTACGCAAAGATACTTATTAGTTTATAAATTTACCATTACATTTAGTACCATAAACACGGGGGAAAACTTATCGTTTTTATGGCAACTCAAGATTGTGTGGATTTTCACTATCATCTTTTCAAAGCAGTACTATGCAACAAATCTGAAGAGCTTATTTCCAATATACCTGTTGTAAATCTCTCAGTTCATCGACTTCATGGAAGTATGGAGCATAAAGTGAGTCTTATAAAAGAATGCAATCTATACGTGTTCATTTATATTTACTATTTTCACAGTTATCCGTCAGTCTTTAAATAAAGATCATGCGAAGAGACTTGATAATATCCATGGGATTATAAAACAGAGTACATAATATTACTTGTATTCTGTACTCTGTATCAAGTGACGCTGGAAACAAACAACATTATTTGGAATTAAAATAAGACAAGGTTAAGTATTGGGCAGAAGGTGAAGGTGCAGCTGATTGGTTTAGGGAGATGATTTTCAACCAGTGGGTCATGGGTTCAAGCTATGACCCACCTACCAAGGTTTGAGCAGCTAAGTAGTATCATTAACCCTCACACTATAGGTGTGGCTCATTGCCTACAGCATGAATATGTGCAGGGTTGACGAGTGCATTTTAAATTTTCTTCAAAATTGGTTGTAGCTTCAATTCGAAAAATGATAGTTTTCACATTACTCCATATATTTATGTGTAGAAGGCCTCCTGCATACTGCTCAGCGAATTGACGTTTGTAGAAACTACAAAACAATCCATAGTTATGCACATTTTAAGTAGCAGTTAATCATAACTTTTCATAATACAAATATACTGTTGATTTGAGATTCAAGAATTTAGATTTCAAGGACCTGTCGAAACCTAAGTCTTCAATGATATGTTCAGATTTTCCAGCTTTCAGATGCAAGAATAAGTTAAACTGTCTGGAACTAACATTCCAGATCTAGGTTGTTTTCTATGATTACTCACATGATTTTACTTGCCTTTTTGGGTTACTCAGTAGGGTTCAGCGTCCGAGTTTCAGATATACTAAACTTAATCAGTGTATAAAGCCTCTGCACTATAAAGTGCTTTTGATTGAGACATTTGCTACCGCGTGTGTAAGAAGGTACGTAAGTAAACTTACACCGTTCGTAACAAAGTCTTTTCGAAAGTATATCAGCTCATCTCAGCTTGTAACATTATTTGGTGGGAAGTAAATAGAAATTTTTAGTAGTGTTGTTGCTTGTATTATCTCGTCGTTGATTTGACCCTATTGATCGGTCTCTACTGACATATATGGGCTCCTGCGTTGATGTCTCGATATTGTATGTGTTTCAGTTTTATATTAATGATGGATAGTCCCTAGCAATAGGATCCAGGATGCGCGTTTAGGTTGATAAACTTGAAATCTATAAATTGTTTGTGGTGAAATGAGCACACAACACTAAAAGAAACCACGGTTATTACCAGTCGTAACTATTCTGAGTCAAGTTAAACATTTTAAAGTTGTATTTCGAGGAGGTTGTGGGAATTTAGAAATATTTCCAAGTTAGTATTCGTCGTAGACTGACATAAGTTGGAGGAACAATGGAAACCTGGGAGCACTGGACAGCTGTTTCGTCCTAATATGGGACTCCTCAGCAGTGTGCACCCACGAGCCGCCAGGGATCGAACCCGTGACCTTCAGGTTCCGTGGACATCACGTTACCATTGAGCCGCTGGGTCGGGATCATAATGGTTCATATTTTTAAATTTTGTCAGTTCACGACATAGCGCAACCACCACCCAATGTCATCGTAGAGTAACTATCCTCCTGACCACGGTCGTGACCCAGTGGTTCAATGGTAACGTGCTGGCCACGGAACTTGAAGGTCGCGGGTTCCAGCCCTGATGGGGTCGTGGGTGCGCACTGCTGAGGAGTCCCATACTAGGACGAAACAGCTGTCCAGTGCTCCCTAGTTTCCTTCGTTCCTCCAAATGATATCAGTCTACGATGAATACTAACTTGAAAATATTTCAATAATTTCCGAATTTCTTGAACGTAATTTTGAAAGGTTTGTCATCCTCACACAGTTTTCTGAAAAAAACTAGTGCACTAGAAGTTTTTAGGCTTCGTAACTGAGATTTTCATTAAACTGAACATTCTAACATAATGAGGATTGAATAAACCATCATAGTGCCTAAGCAAACCAATGGTAAAGTATAACTTTAGTTTCTATGATTAATTTGGTGCTTAGCCAGTGCAAAATCCTCAACTTGGGTAGCATGTTATCACTATTTTTCAAGTTAACTATATTTATAGATTATAATAATAATGATAATACAAGGCATACAATTGAATCACTTACTTTTTCTCAGAGTCAATAGTTCCTTTCACCTCTGTTGAATTATACAGGTAATGTACGTAAATAAAATATACATGAAATTTATGACTGTTTTAATCCATAGTAACTTTCTTGTATCCCAAATATAGACGATAGATTATAGAGGATATGTGGAAGTACATATAGTGAGCCATCTAATTATTGCCTCATGTAGTGGAGCTGTAGCTCAGTGGTTAGGGGCCATGGGTCCCAGCCCTTCTTCATCTGTTGAGGTTTGGTCAGCGAAATAGTATCACTGGCTCCCACACAATAAGTGTGGCTCATCGCCTACTGCGTGGATGTGAAAATGGTGACTGAGCTCACTTTTTTTTCGTGTTGTCTTACACTGCGTGTCAATATTCCAATTCTTTCTGCTCATAAGACAAATAGTCCACTAGGTTTTAATATGCTCAATGCTCTCATATGTTTAACAAATTTTCTTCGCTCTCAAGTTCTTGTCAGACTTTGAAGTTGATAAGAACCCCAAAATTATAAGCTTCGGAAGTGTCAGCTACTTTTATTCCATTACTTCTACCTTTTTTTTCACCCGATATTCATCAATATCTGCTCCTCTTTCATTATTAAACTCTTACTTTTAAGGAACGTGAATCAGCTTTTCAAAGCTTTGCTAATAGTCAAGCTGGTGTTCTGATCACTACAGATGTTGCAAGTCGAGGTTTGGATCTAGCGTCAGTAGCTTGGGTAGTACAGTATCATGTGACTGGAGGCCCTGTAGACTATGTGCATCGTGTTGGACGAACTGCACGTGCTGGAGGTCAGGGTAAAGCACTTCTCTTTCTAGAATCTGCAGAACTTGGTTTTATTGACCTTTTGAAGTCAAGAGTTGGCATGGAGATAAATGAAATAAGTTTATCTGATCTACTTCAAACTGTTCTTTTTCATCTACAAAATACTAAACGTCCTGGAAGACAAAGGGTATGTCATTGTATTTTTCTTGGAGTTATTTCTACTTAACCATGTTTTTAAGACTTGATTCGGAAGTTAAATGGAAAAAATTGATTAAAATGGATGTTAATTTGTTTGATGCAACGTAAATTTTTGTTAATATGATGTATGAATTGAAAATAGATGTATAAATGGTGATTAACTTCCAAAGGGCGTCCCAGGTGAGGGTGAAATAAAGGAGATCATGTGGGGGAAGAAATGAAAGCTTGTGGGCAGTCGTGAAGCCAGGTTCAAAAGACTACAGAGAACAGAGTGCAATGGGGGCATGCTACTGAAGCCCGATGCTCCACTAGGAATTCAAGGGACAAATAAATAATAATAACTTCCAATTATCTCTTGTTAAGTTCATTAGAACAGTATTTAAGTGAATACATGTCTATGTGGCACCAAATACAAACAATATAAATTGTTTCACATACCAAAGAAAACTGATGGATTCTGCAGGGTCGTATTTCAAGATGGATTTCTTCCTTAAAATTCATTTGTGAAGTAAATGTATACTGAAAAACGTTATTTATTGGGTAAAAGCATTGGATTCTGTAGTAAGATATCTTAGAAGAGTTCCCAATGACTGCACTAAGCATCATTGTTCATAGAACCTGAATTCATGTTAAGAGTTTCCTTTTGAAAGGCAATTGGTATATATCTTATTCACATATGGTCGTCGTGTAGAATGTTAACCATGATGTATCGTTCTAGTGGAATTGTTGGTCACTGATTTAGGAACTGAGTTTTTGACCAGTGGACTATGAATTCAAAATACTAGTTGCCAAGGTTTTGGTAGCCAGGTAGTATTATCAGGTGTTAACAGGCGTTTGCCCACTACTTAGAGCACAGATGGGATGTATTGGAAGTCACTAAGTTGAATATTTAAATCTGTGGAGGGAAAATATGTTTCATTTTGATAGATGTTGAAAGTAACGTTAGAAAGTGATAAAAATTTTCACATCAAACTGTTCTATTGATCGGTTGTCTCGTGCATACTGAACCATTGCCCTACTTCGATATACAATGTTAGCTGAACTAGGTTTAGATTGTGAGAAAGCTAGAAGTGGTAAGTCCCGGTGAACTGTCTGACTATTGATGTCAAGCGTTCACGGAGGTGCAAGCCAATCTGGTTACAGTTCTTGATATGATCTGAAATGATAGTTGAAGACTTTTGGTAACTTAGCGCAAAACCGGTTACAATGGTATATATGTATGCACTCTTTGTCATATTCGAAGATCGTTAGAAAAAACAACCTATATTATCCTTTCCCTCTCATACACTTAAATATCATTCTATTTCCACTCTACTCCGTTGCTCTCTTCTGGAGAGTTTAGTTCACTACGTTCGATGAATCAGATGTTAATGTAACTCAGCGTTTGACCAAGGTCATGTGGTATTATTTTATCTTCGTTGCACTATTGTATCCTTATTTGAAGTTGCATTGTTTGGTTTACGGCTTACTATCGATTACTTTCAATTATGTAACATTAGTCAGATGGCACAAAATACCAAGGCTCTTAACTTGATGGTCACATTACAAACTCCGTTGACTGAATTCTATCAGCACTTAAGACTAAACAGCATGAAATAGGTAACTCCAATTTCCAACCAACTTATCTAATCGATTTCTACGGGAAGTCAGTAATAATTCAACTAGTTTGCTGGTAGCATCAAGTGTAACTAAATGACGTGGGTTTAAATATTTGAAGCGACGTCAGTTTCCTAGAAATTCCAGGTACTCCTTCCTAATGACATCTAAAGTTTGTCGCTGACAGCTTTGAAATACCTGTTGACTCAGCACCTTTATTTTTATTATAGTTTAGACAGATTGTATAAACAACTCATTCATCCAATTTGACACTGAACTAGTGAGATAGACACGCTTACGGTTTATTGTCCTTTTCAGTGGTTGCCTTCTGAACATATCGAGGAGTTTATGTGAAAGATGGCCAATTGCATCTGTTCTGTCACATTTCTTCTCTTCTATAGGAATTCCGTTACTATCAAAGTCGATAGCTTTAGTGAATTTTTAACCGTATCAAATGGTAACCACTTCTTTATGTGACTATTTTCTTTTACTCTACTAATTAGCCAACTTTTGTCCTCAATATTTACATTACTTCTGTATATGGTTTTTTTTTAGCCTGATGAATGTACAACTGTTGAAGAGGGAACTAGTCGACTGTTTCATTTATTTCTTGACGCTGTAGATAATGATGACGGTTTGAATACACTTTCAGAATTGGCCTACATATCATTTCTACGATCTTATGCAAGTTTCTCTGGAGAATTACGACCTATATTTACCTTCAAACATTTACATTTAGGTCATGTAGCCCGTGCATTCTGTTTACAAAAAACACCATCTGATGTTGCTGCTCGTGTTAGAGGTCGTTTTATAAAAACTGATAAACAGAAAAACACAACAGGAAATAAACGAAAACATGATGATTCGAGTGAGAATGAAATGGATCCTCGTAAATCAAAGTGAGTTAAACTGATTATAGGAATTTTCCAATAATGTGATATTTATAGGTTCATATGATTGCAACGGTACTCATATTTTGCTTGACTTGTTCCTGATTCATTTCAGCCATTATCTTAGAATAGTATTTTATGTTAATTCTATCCTGTGGTCTGTTCTATTTCTTAATGAATGCTCTTTATTGTCAGTTCGTAAGAGAAAACAGTTATATCTAACAAACAGAATGTGAGAAGCACAACTAGTAACCGTATTAACCGAAGACAATTAGTTATATAGATTAAATAGGTAACTGTTTGGAAACTGTTAGGGTTAGAGCTAACGTAGATGTTTGTTTGATCAGGGATTTTATTCATTCAATTCAGTTCATGGTTATGCAACACTTAATATGACTAGTTTGTTACTCCATTCACTAGGGAATAATCATTCATGAAAGGGATTGTGTTTGTCACACAGACTCATACAGCTGATTTTTTTTTTTTTTTTGAAATTAACAGAAAAAGCATAAATGGCACTATAGATCGAGGTTGTAGAGAACACTAATCATGAGAGTTTTTAAACAATAACATATATTATATCAAGAATTATACGTCATCGGTCTATACTCAGTTGTGCAGACGAATGAAAAGATTCGTGTTAATTTATTATGATTGTAAAAGCATGTCTTTGCTAAAATCAACCATTAACTAATCTACACATTATCGGATCACACGACCAAACATAATAGGTGGTGAGGTATACAACACAAGAATCAATGGAACATTATTATCTTGCTTTATTAATTTCTTTCTCAGAAACTATCATTTATTTTTGTATATTTCTATTTTAGAAGTAGTATTCATCAGTTGAGGGAACCATTAAAAATGTGGGAGCATTGGACAGCTGTTTCGTCCCAGTATGGAATTCCTCAGCGGTATGCTCCTACGACCCGGCTAGGGATCGAACTCATGACCTTCAGGTTTCACTGCGAACGTGTTAACCATTCAGCCATTGGGTTGGCTCCCAGTGGTTCACAATTTCCAACTTTTGTCAATTCACGATTTAGCGCGACTATCACCTAAGGTCTTCAGCTAGCATCCACTTCACTTCGGACTGGTTGACCCCACAGGTCATGACTTCTCATTAGAGCTTCATGTTATCCATCTGGAACCAAGTCACTAATGAGCGTACTGCTGAGGAATCCCATACTAGGACGAAACAGCTGTCCAGCGCTCCCAGGTTTTCAATGATTCCCCAACTGATATCAGTCCATGATAAATACTACTTCTAAATTAAAATCCCCATTCATCTCAAAAATACATATTTCTATTTCACATTTTGTATGTGTGTTGTAAACAGATATTCGACAGCTTTATCGTTCGATGAAACTTCGAAGAATCCAACCGCAAACTTTACTAAACCATCTGATTTGGCTAGACGTAATATGCTTGCAGAATATGGTTTATGATTTGTCTCTTTCAATGCTAAATGTGAATTGACCATAATGTCACTAAATATTTATCATCATGTGTACAGAAGCGATCTGTGAATATCCCTTTCTTTGTACAGATATATATACCACAGAGATTAATAGTGGTTTTTTCTCACTTTGTAACTTTTGCATTATTTATTTACAAACATTAAATTGATCCTGAAACTCGATACTACTCACAAGTAGTTAGTTGAATGTTTTGCACAGCATAGTCTGAAAACTGTTAGAAATTATATTTCCCTCAAGTTCGGTGTATTCAGCTTTGTAGTAATACATTTGTCTACTATAAAGTAGACTGAATAAAAATTCTGACAAATGCTGCACTTTTAGAGGATAACTGCATTGAGCGATTACGGCATGAGTGTGCTGTTAGACTTCTCTCTGCAACAACTTTTTTGATGTTGAACATATCATTGTTCTAGTATACACTTCAGCAGCATATAGTTTCCTGTTGTTTTGGCGTTTAGTAGTTGGAACTCCCACATACACTACCATTTTCGATCAAGGATGTCTTCTTATCTGTCATTTGTTAACTGTATTTGGTTTCGCTAGGTCAACTTTTTCAAACGGTATGGAGACTTGTACATTACTTCAAGATTCCTTTAATTCAGTAGTCGTGCCAAAGACAATTTTCGCTTCAAACACTAATTATTAAATACTATCAGCCTAGTTTCCTACGCTTATTAGCAGTTCCAATGGACTTGTGTTCGCATCGAATTTTCATCTCTTGTAATGTTTCGTTAGGTCATGCCTAGAAGAATCACGAGTTTAAGTTGACGAATATTATTACCTAATTTGGCACAGGGAGCTGAATAAAATGTTGAGCTTACTTTTATGGATGAAGTTTTATTCAGTAAGTTGTGAGATAAAGATCAAGCCCATAGGGGAAATGGCTGATAATCCCTATTGGGATCGTATCTGTTGACAGTATGTGATAGTACTTTCTCAATACCTAAAAGAAGGTCTTTATTGACCTTACATGAAATTCTTGGTGAAGCAATCTAGCTACAGAATGTGACAATGGCTCTGATGCCGTACGTCACAATTATAAGCCATACTCATATCACTAACTGTTCCAATATTGAAATAATTTTACTGTATCTCCTGCAGTAGTCATTGTATTTCACCTATTCTCATTTATAACTGTAAAGCCTGACGAGGAAGCTACTGAAAACAATCGTTCGCTCACATTTTTGTTGTTATGAAGACATTTATATATATGCTCATTAGTGACATACTTCGAGATAGATATCCCGAAGTTCTAGTGAAAAACCGTGACCTGTATGGTCAACCAGTTGAAAGTTAAGCGGGTGCCAACTGAAAACTTTGATGGAAAGCTGCTCTGTATCGCAAATTGACAGAAGTAGGAAACTGAGGACCATCTAACTTCAACCCCGTTGGCTGGATGGTTAACGCGTTCGCCGTGAAATCCAAGGGTCTCGAATACGGTCCCTGGCGTGGTTGTGAGCACAGGTTGCTAAGGAGTTCCATACTAGGACAAAGCAGGTGTCCAATGTTGTCGGGTTTCCAATGGTTCTCCAAGTGATGTCAGTCCGTAATGAATGCATACTGTACTCTCACTTTAAAATGCAAAGAAATGTCAAATCTATTGTTTACAAACAAGTTTTATTCTGTTTGGCTGTATTTAGTATCTGAAATATGCAAATAATTGTACAATTTATCCAAAAGTTGGATAAATTGACAGAACGTTTACCAAGAAATAAGTAATATTGACACAAACATCTTCAGCTTTTAATCAAAGTATTACTGGATTACACAGGATCATAGAAGTATATCACAAGCACAATGTAAAATCACGGTTGGTGTTTATCACTGGGTATTTGAAAGATTGAAACTCTTGCTAAATCCTCTTTACTTCTTAGTTTCGATATAAGCTGTGTATTGAGCAGCCTCTGAAGAAAAAAGTTTTGAAATTGAGTATTCATTATGTACATAGATTGATTTTAACTGTTTACTTGTGAAATCAACCAGTGTTTTATAATGTACAACAGACTGAATGATCACCTTAATAATCTGTACCAATGTGAAGCTGTGGCTCATTTGTTTAGTGAGCTGACTTTCAACCAAAGAGCCACGAATCCGAACCCCGCTTCACCTATCAAGGTTTGTGACAACCAGGTAGTATCATTAGCCTTCATACAATAGGTGTGGCTCATTGCCTACAGCGCATACGTCCACAACATTGGTGAGTAGAATACATTTCAGCGACTTAATGGTAGTTCGCCTTGGGACTTTGTATTCGGTAAAAAGTCATGCGTGTCCACTGCTGAGACCTTCAGGACTATCTTTAAAGTATTAACTCTATTGAACCTAACATGTCTTCATCATCCAGTTAAATTATCGAACGAATACGTATTACTACTGAAAGTGGTTTGGTCTGTTTATTAGAAATATCACACAGTGAAACATTATCATTTACTGGATAACGTTCGGACACAATCCAGTGTCCTTACTCATATCAGGTAACTCCACTACTTCCAGACATAGTTTATACAGTCCTACTTTTCTCTCCTTCTCTGTGATGACAAGGGTAGTAGAATTTTCCATATATCTGGGACACGCGGAATCATTTCCATCCATTGCCTGTATTTGGTGTTGATTCGATAAACAAAGATTCGGTTATCAATCTCTGCCTCCCTCCACCCAACTAAGTTTGTTTTCAACACTGTCATTCTATCCCACCCTACTGTGTGGTTGTGTGTCATAGTGTGCAGAGCTATAGTCGAGTCTTCTTCTAAATTTCTTATCTTATTATGACGTAGTAATCTTGATTTAGCTAAGTTTTTGTGCTCTGTTATTCTAATTGACCCTGGTCAGCTACTATGACCTATGTATTTGACCTCGCCATCATTGCAAGGGATTTCGATAAACCAGATTATTTTGTTTAATTGCATTGATAAGATCTCTTAACCTACAAAGCTTGTTTCTGAGCGAGTTTGTTGGTTTAAATGCCACTTTAATCCCAGGAAACCTTATTGAGAATTCTTCGTAGTGCTTCTGCGATGACTTCCTAGTATGGTAACACAGCAGAGGTTTTGAATTCTCCCTCAACCCTGTCATCATTATTGCCATTAATAGTGGGATTACTATTAATAACACCTGTATTACTACTACTACCACTGGTAACATTTTTCTTTCGATTCCTTATGAATTTATTTATAAATTTTGGTGGGTAATTGTTGAGACGTAGGGTATTCTTGATGTGTCTAATTTGTTATCGCAGATTTTCCGATCCACTAGTAAGCTTTTCCTCACTATCGCTTAAGCATTTAACTAGGCCTACTTTAACTGAGATGATTTGAAGTCTGAGTAGTGATTCTAATGGATAGTCTCTAAACTTCCGTCTTGTGTTCGTTTAATCCTGGAATCCAACATTGCTAGCTCACCTTCTTCACTTTCTAAGTCACAGGTAAATTGGATTGTATCCACTACTGAATATATATGTGCCAAGAACCTATTGATGTGTTCCGATTTCAGTACTGTAAACGTATCATCTACATGTGGGGACCATATCTTTGGAGTAGGACTAAATGTTTGAAGGGCCATCTGTTCCAAACTATCCATAAATATGTCTGCGACGATAGGGGATATTGGTGATACAAGGCAACACCTTCAGTTTGTTTATATATTTTATTTTGAAACTTAAAAACTGTAGATGTTAGGCACAATCGTACTCCTACTATGATTTCCTCGATCGGTATTTTAGTTCGATGCGTAAGTTCTTTGTCACCTTTAAGCCCATTTCTAACTGCCTCTAGAGCCATGTCAATCGGTATGTTTGTGCAAAGGCTAGTTATGTCAAAACTAACCATTTTTTCACTGTGTTAACACTGAGACTTCAGACATAGATAGTTGGTAAGAAATCTTCTAGTAAGTGACCTGTTTACTGTTTATACCAAGGATAGTGTATTGTCATGTTTACTGGTGTTATAAAATTGTCAAACATAAAAAGATTCATAATAGTAGAATATAAAATAAAGAAGAAGAATTAACTTACACAAACCGGTCGCTGTTCACTTTCCTGATCGGATTGTTTAACTGATAATAATGGTCGTCTAAGCAGTAGCCGTCGCAGTGCCATATTTTCTTCTCTTAACCGTTGAATTCGTGCTTTCAGTTCACCAATTATTTGAAGAGGTTGTTGACTGACCAAATTATGAGAACCAATCTTATTATTATTTAATGATAACGACCGTTGATGAAGGGATGAAAGAACTTTATACTTTCTGAATGTTGTATAATGTAGAATGAATGTGAAAGTAGAATCATTTCAGTGAAAATTACTTATTTAGGCCGAATAGAAGTTTCATTCATATAGAGCAGAAGTATTTCAGTGTCCAACCTCCTTCTCTACTGTGTTACACATAAAGAGATCATAATGCTATGTGATCCACTACTTGATGAGGTGTAAAGTCATTGAATCAGACAGTTTTGTCGACTGTGGAAAATCAGTCATTCCAACAGAAGATATACAGTTCAGGATGAGGATGATAGTTATTTGACGTTTTTTGAGCTTTAATACTTTGTGGTGGACGTTTCGTTATCAGAATAGATAGCTTCGTCATCACTTACTTCGTAACACCAACGATCATGCATCAAAGCACTGTAAAAGTTCATTCTCCAAAGAATAATTGTTTACGTAATCCTTCTTCACATATTTGTGTTAAGTGATAAGGTCGCACTGATGGAATACTCCTTCAGCAGAATATCATTGCAATTCGTTATTTTATTGATACTTGTAATTCCTCGTTGCTTTATTTTGTCGAATTACTCGACCTCTGCTGGTAGATGGGTCCCTATTTGGATGCCTCGATACTACCTGGATATTCATTATGTTGTAGTCTGTTTGGTGGCTAACAGTGGAATCCAGGTTGCACTTTTCGTCCTATCCGGAACTCGTCACTCTGATGTGCCTGCACCCACAGATTACAACAAGGCATCCGCATCGGAGCCTATCGGCCAACAAACGTCGACCAATTCGGCCTTAAAACAATAACTGTTAGAAAAGGTCAGCCCACAAAAAAACACACTTCCCACGGTCTTCTGGTACCGGTGGTATGGGTTCTGTTTATCCAATCTTAGAACAATCCCACTAAAGGTCGCGTATGACAAGCCTCAAACAGATGTTCGGTGAGCTATCTGGTCTCACAAATTCTTTTCTCTTTCGGGTACTTTAAGAAGAAAAAGCCTACAATATGGACAGCTGAGAAGTATCAACTACCCACACGCTTCCAGTAGTACACAAGATCCAGTCGAATTTCACTTATTCCCCTTCAACTCTGTCTCCTTTGCCTTGACTTCTTGATACTAACATAAGGCCTTTTACACCTTACCCAACCTCACACTGTGTAACCATTGTCAACGATGAAAGACACCGAAACCTTATTCCTAGTCCCCTAAGACCCAGCCATCGATTTCATGTCGAAGTTTTCAACGTCTGAATTCTGTGCTAAATTGGACAGCAAGCATCGCTTGCCAGAACTCTGGAATTTCTAGTCATGAATGTATACTGTATCTCAGAGATACATATACAGGATCTGAGTGTGGTTGTTGGATTGACGTCACCTGCTCACAGCAATGAATCTTCAAAATCCACCTTATGAGTATCTGAAGCTCTAGTAGATTTGCTGGTGTAAACATAACACTAAGTTGTAGAGCAGAAAGTGGACTTCGTGACTGGATGGCAATCAACAGTCATCGATGTGGGGTTCAACTGAATGAATCTGCAAGGACTGGGAAGGATTGTGAGACTAAGCGATGCCTATTCGTAATCTCCACCCACGTACCCACCGACTGTAGTTCAGATGAAGCAAAGAATGAATTTTGTGAAAATCTCTCCACCTTTCTCAGAAAGCAAACCGTTCAGATGCAGTTTTAATGCCAGGTGTCTGTAACTACCAAGTAGGGAAGCTGAGGCAATCTGAAAGTCATCTTCAAGGTATTTACAGAATCCCATGCCAACGAACTGACAACGATTGTTGTATCTTGTAGTTTCGTTCCGATAACCACCTGTTTTTGACCAGCACTAACTTTAGACGTAAAGAGAGACACTGTCTCACTTGGTTTCTGCCAAATTCAAACCAGCAATTGACACAGGTAGATCGAATTGCTGAGTCATCGTTGGAGAGGACCGGTGAAGGATTGCCCCTCTTTCTTAGGTATTAGTTTGGACTCCATTCAGATACTAGTATGGGCTCGTGTATGTCTAGTCTTTACTGGTCGCGAGAATCAGGATGCACTGATGTCCATCTATGCCCAATTAGTAGATGAGGACGCCAAGTACGCATTCGGGGAAGAGTTAGCTACGCACTTTTCTGGACGTGACACCAATATTCCTAGTGAGGATGCCTGGTGTCACGTGATATTAGTTCTGTAATAGAAGTAGAGGTAAAGACAGTTGGTAATCCACACCCGAAGGTTAGCGTACGTCACTGGATTCCCGCGACATCATCCAAACTGATTGATGTGAGAAGACTGGTTCCAGCTGACTGTGACCATGATCAATAGCGAAAGCAAATCAAAGGTAAGTTGACCACGAGTCTTCACATCAATCTCGAGCAGTGATTGGTGACGAAAGCAAGAAAGATGGAAAAGGCATCAGTGCTGGGTAAAACTCATCAGCTATTCAAGCTTTTTAGGGATACCGGCAAGAAGATGTCGTGAGTGAAACCATCACCGAGAAGGATGAAACGATGATAACCTCCCATGACAGATGACTAGAAAGTTATACAGAACACTTGGGAGGACAGTCCAACTGGCAGTCAACAATGCTTCAGTTGCCCAACACAGCCTGAATCTCAACAGTACGTAGATATCAGTCCGCCAACTGTCCTTAATGTTGGGAAAGCTGTTTTGGACCCGAAATGATGCAAAGCAGCAGGACCTGATAGTTTGATACCTAAAGTTTTAAAGGATAACGACAAGAAATTGCTGCTTAAAATGACGGAGGTACTAAGTAGTGTGTGGGAATCAGAAGTTGTGCCGTCAGACTGGTCTACTTCACTGATCATCCCAGTTCATAAGAAGAGAGAGAAATCGTCCTGTGACAACCATAAGGAAATTAGTTTGACTAGTATTGTGTCAATGATCCTAAGCTCCATAGTTATCCGACGTCTGACTGGAGCTCGAGAAGAGTGAACGTGAGAAAATCAGGCGTTTCAAACTTGGACGAGGGTACATCGATCATATTCTCACCCTCCGACAAGTTCTGGAACATGGGCTTGCCATATTTCTTGACCTAAAGGCGGCATTTGACTGAGTCGACCATGAGGTGTTATGGCAGTGTCTTTTCTCTGTGTACTACTGTGAATTATGGTAACTTGAACCGATGCACCTGTGTGCGAGCTTCTTCATTGGTTTTGTCAGTCAGCCACAGGGTTCGAGTTTCAGTGAGAATAACATCACTAACTGGAGTACAAGTACATCCACCTAACGAGTCCCAAATAAGACGGAACACGCGTTCTGGATTCCACTGCCAGCCACCAAACAGACTACAACATCATATCAAGTCCGTCTCTGCTGAAAGTCATACGGTAGAAATTGAAAACTGTCACCCCTTCCTCTGAAATATTACAAATTGAAGAAATATTGTGCCACATACTTTGACGAATGGTATACCGACTGTAAGCAAGATTTATCAAGTAAATCAATAAAATGTAGATGGCAACTGATACGGTAACATGTGAACAATTCACATAACTATGTAAAATATGAATATCAATCGTACAATTTGACAGGAATGGAAAATTTGCTTTGATAACTCTTCCTGCTACCAGTCCATATTATCGTCGTCAAAATCAACATAGAACCATGCATTACTGCCTAACGGTCCAAGTTGCCACATCCCATGTCAGCACATCAAGTAACATCCAATCAAATCGAAGATGATGAGGAAAAGAAAAATCGGTTGAAAGAATTAGAAAGTTGTAAACAATAGGAAGGAAGAATAAGAAGATGATGAAATTAAGTATAGCTGTTAAGGTGAGGATAATGTGTGTACACGTCTGCGTCACTGACATCAGTTCTGAGCCATATCACCTACAGTCAGTCTCTAACCACCGGTTTCTCTTGTCCCATGGACCCCAAATAACTAGTCTGTATCTCCCTACATGTTTCAAACTAATAGTCAAGATATTCGTGCACTTATGCTATGTTTTAGTCTGGCCACCCTGAGCCTTTTTCCAGTCTGAACCTACTTCGGCTAACATTGTGTGACGTGGCAGACGGTTGTAAGACGTATTTAACACATGTCCCAGCCAGCCATCTCAGTCGATGAAGGTTAACAACTTCACCAACTGTCTTACGCCTACTTCCTAAAACTCTACGTCTGACTTCCGCGTTACTCAGCTGGTGACTCCATGAAACACGGACTATGCTACGAATGCAACGGTTGTCACACACTTGAAGTCTTCGCATATGTTTTACCTTTAATGGCCATGTTTCATAGCCATGCAGTAGAACAGAGTGGACAGCATAGCACACTTGAAACTTAGTAGGATATCACAACGGCACCACAGATGACGTAAGTTGGCAAAAGCCAACCAAGCCTTTTGTATCTGTGCGGAGATTTCGTCATCCCTTGACCCACCAAGGTTGACCCAACTTCGCAGGTAAGTGGAGTGTTCAACGCACTCAGCCACTTTACTCTCTATTGTTAGCGAAAGCACTGCTGAAGACTAATCCTGGAGCAACAAATTGCATTTGGGTGGCGAGAAACTCATTTTAAACATTCTCGAGTTACCACCCAATGTGTCCAGAAGACTCTATATCTTGTCACTGTCTTCACCTAATAGGACTATATCACCTTCGTATTTTAGGTCTATCGAGAATTCTGCTGTGATCACGTCAATCACTGTGTAGTCAGAGTACAACAGGCATATCTCCATAAGAACATCTATGATAGAATAAAATAAGAATGGAGAGAGCGGCTGTCCCTGACCGACACTGGTCGACGTACACAGCTCGCTCTACATCTCACTGTAGGCTATAACACGCCCATAGGTGTTTGAGTAAAGATCCATCAATAAGGTGATGCACTTACTTGGTACCTCTTTCAGTGACAGACATCACCATAAGGCCTCTCGATCGACGGAGCCGAATGCCACCTTCGGATTGAGAAAAACAGCTATTGTCGGGAGCCGGTAAGCGTGCCTGTGTTCCAGAACTTGGCACAATGTGATTATTTGGTCGACACATCCATAATCAAGTCTGAAGCCTGTCTGGTCTTCTCCGGTTTGCTGTTCTCGAGCTCCATTCAGGCATCTAATGATTACAGAAGCTGGAATCTTAGACAGTGTCCATCAGGTTAACTCCTCTGCGGTTATCATAAGAGGACCTCTCCCCTTTCTTGGAGACTGGAGTAATCAGTGATTGAAACCAGTCACAGGAGATTATATTTGACTCCCAAACACTAGTTAACATTTCAGTTAACTTGACTAAAAACACTCTACCACCGTCCTCATATACTCAAGGAACTAGTACATCTGGTCCTGCTGCCCCTTTTCGTTTCAATCTACCTATCACTTTCTCCATTTCTACTAGTGTTGGGGGACCTATCACGGCGTTGCATTTAGGATCCAACTGGATAGAGGGTAATGCAATAGTGGCTGGAAGCCAGTTGAAGTGTTCTACCAATTGTTCCAATCATCTTGTCAGCAGGTGAATCCCAGACCCATCTTTCTCTGCTTAGTCTCAATAATCATTGACCTTCCCCCCCCCCAGTTTCCTTATTAAGTCTAAATAATTGTCTTTTATCACCTAACACCGCTGCCTTTTCGATCTATTTAGCCTTCGCTGCCCACCACTGTTCGTGGTCATTGAGTAGACTTTTTGTCAGTTTATATTTGAGTTGCGTTCGGTCTTCACTTTACTTAGATCCATAGGAGATGCGTTCGCATGCATCCATGAATTCAGCAGAAGCTGCTGATGTCTACTGGCTCTTTGTAACCACTCTTTGAGAGTCGGCTTTGGTCTTCAACGCTGTTTTGACAGCAGACTGGAGATGGCACCAAGATTCTTCTGGATGTGTACTAGTGTTCTGTTCCGATAACTGTTTTGTCAGTTTCTCACTGAAAGCGTCCTTAGTGCTCTCATTGTCGAGCCGCACTTGTAATAGTCTTGTTGCTAAAGTTTTTGTACGTTCACTAAGGGGCAGGCATGTCCTTACTCGAATGAATGCGTGATCGCTATCCAAACACGCGCTCCAGAAGGGACGACAGTCTTCCACTGGCTCTCTTCAGCGATGGCTGGTAGCAATGTGGTCTCTCTGTGTCCACCACTGTGTTGACCTCGGTGGACGCCACGTCACAATTTCTTTGTTTATTTCTGAAATAAATGGTCATCTAAGCGCAATTGTAGTAGGCCATCACCGTTATCTGTTCTTTCAAGTGGGATTCCGAAAGTGCCACCTAACTGCCTTTCTGCCTGACTCAACCTACCCACTTGTCTATTGAAATCACCTGCAACAGCAACCACGCCTTAATGTTTGGCTTTTAGAAGGAGGTCAGACACTTTTTGGTAGAACTCATCCTTCATTTTATCCAAACTGCAGTTATTGGGTGTGAGGGCAGAAATTGCAAGGAGAAAATGGCGAGTTTCACTATTCCTTTTAGTTATCACTGTACTTTTCACCGAGACAGCACATAAACTACTTCCAACCGGGATCTCGTCTAGTAGTGAGCTTTTTACCTGAATGCTACACGAATGTCAGTCCATGCAGAAAGATTTTTTTACAAATTCAACCATATACTATATTTCAAGAGACTTATTGATCTTCGAGTAGATTATTACTTTCCAGAGAACCGACAGTTTCTACGAAGTTGCTATTCTTGAAGCAAGTTTCAGTTTCATGCTATTAGTGAAATGAATAACAATGCACCTGGGAAGTGACATTTAAAAGGTTTTTCATATGCTTTACCAAATGGTAGTAGAATGTCTAATTTCATTTTATCCCAATGCAGTTACCTGCTCAATTGTTAGTGATGTTCTGGTCATATTTATTGTACTACAAAGCAAGTACTTCTAAATATCAGTTGAGAAAGTATGAAAAACCAAGTGACACCAAACAGTTAACTTATCCTGCTTTTCAATCTTATCTGTATAAATATATAGTCGACAACAGTAAAGGTCAAGAGGTGATAACCGTTAATTTGCAAACTATTTGAGTTCTTCCTTATGATTACTTTGCATTTTTTTTCACTCAGATAAAAATAGCATTTAGGGGACAACCATTTTCCTGCACATTACTAATTAGCTACTTGTTGGAGATATGGTTTCTTAGCGTGAACCCTCGACTCTCAAGTAATGAGAACCATGTTCCAAACTCCTGTGCATACTGGTTAGTACTGTAAGCCCTCAGACTGCATAGATTGTAATCTAACACATAAACCAGTACCGTGTTTAGTTGCGTTCTGTTTCATTCTCAGGCTCATCAAATTTTTGCAGTGTATGCGCACCTGACTCCAAGTGTGAATACGAGAGCCCAAATAACTTCATATTCCTTAGAGTTCCAAACGTTACTAACCGACCAGTGTCACATAATGTAAACAACAGAAGACGTAGGTGAAGATGAAGGATAGTGTATTCACAATGACAACCAATTCGAAAGTCGCAACCAGTTCGGTATCGTTTGAACACAGTATAAACAAAAAACATACATTTATAATGTCAATGTCAAACAAAGAAATATAAAGGGAATGTAATACCGACAACGTTTTGAGACCTACTTTTATTTTCTGTCCCTGTGTCTATGCGCCATCTAACTGTAGTAGGTTGGATCGTCATAATGACGTGAAGACATACCTAGCTAATATTTACACATTTGTAGTTTCTTATTCATTTCATTAGAGCGAAATGATCAACTTGAACTGTTTGAACTAAGGGTTTAATAGCCACTTAAGTTTCTTCGTCTGATGCTTCATCCTACAGAGCTGTAATCTTAAGTAGATTCAGTTATTTATTCTTAAATGTGGCAAAAGCACACACTGATTCCACCCTAGTATCCGTTAAGTAGAATTTAACTGTTTACTATTTCAAGCAATCTTTCAAAAAAAGTGTTTCATTTCATTTCGAATAATCACTGTGTACACTAAACTATTTATATGAAATTAAAGTCTGAAATCAGCATATCATATATATACCAAAACATGGGGTTATATACACTAACAATCATGAAATCTTACCTTTCTATTCCTTCTCCATGATGTGGTTGATTTCTTTCATTCATCTGTTTTTGAATTTCTTGTTTTAATTGTTGTATTTCCTTTTTTAAGACCTCAATTTCATTGTCTTTAAGCTTTAATTGTTCAATTAGTTTTGCTCTAGCAGTATCATCTTCAAGTTCTTCTATTCTGGTGCGATATTGCTATTTAAACAAAGAAATTCTAGTTATTTCTATTGATAAAAACTACATAGATAACTTCATCAGTTACAAAACGAAATAGAAGTGAAGAATTGTGTACCGTAGCTAGTAGCTTAAGGTTTTTTTTCTATTATGGAAGCTAATCATTTCAATAAAGAGTAAATTATATCCAGATGGGTTCTGTTAGGCGATATTAAATTTAAAATGAAGGTGATACTTCAAAAGTGCATAGTTTCACCGCGTATTCGAATACCTATTTAGTGTCAATGTACAGCATTTCACTCTAGCTTTATTTTAAAAGGTCAGTGATGCAAGACAAGAAGGTTGACGTCAAAAAATTTCAGGAGAACCATATTTACTTATTATCAACTTGATTTTAGTTCAACATGCTATGAAGTAATGGTTACAATTATATAGGTGTCTGAAGTTCTACCAAAACACCCAATGGGTCAGTACATTTCAGCCATACAAACCGCATAGACGTTTGAAAGGAATCATCCTTAAACACTTCAGAGAAATACCTAGTCGAAGTGAAATTTCAGCTTCCTTTGCTGTCGCCAAAAGTTATCACAACTCAAACAGGCCTTCTAAAATAAGAAGGGTGGCGACTCGCTTGTCTTCTGATTACGCTGTCGTCATCGTAACTGATAATTCGATCAAGCTTTTTCTAAAGAATCAGATGGAATCAAGAAATCATATCTCAAGGTGTTATGAGACTTCTGGTCTGTTAGTGTTGACAGTTTCATAACGAAATAGAACAAACAGTTTCTCAAGACACTATTATGATCTATCAACTATTCATATATTCGTCCTGAAAAGAGCTTAATGCAACTGAGTTTCACTAAGGAGTTTAGTTGATAATAGCTTGTCATTTTAAGTTTTGAGTAGTGAGTTTTAGTGACCATAGAACTATCAAAACTGAGGTTCAAGTGTTTGAGTACAACCAGTCTCCTATTGGATGAAGTGGATTTTTACTGTCAGACACTATCATACAAGCTAAACTTGATCTTTTGTAATCGACAGATGGACTGACGAATAACCATAAAGACCATGAATTTGTAAATTGCTTATGAGTCGGATGCCTTAAGATGAAATTTCTCACAGTTGAGTCGTTCAGTAGTATGTTCCGATATTCAATAATGTGCTTAAGACAGACCTTCGATGGATGATTTCTTACAAAGTCTGTATTTATACTACATTGATTGTTTGAAAAACTACTCATTTGTAAACAGTGCTAGTCATTTGTGTAGTATGCCAATAAATTGTTATTTTGCGCATTTGTTCTACTGAATATTTATATCCATTCAACTAAACTAGTAGGATTCAGTTGATTTGAAGTGATCACTTGCATGATGGACTGTACTCGTCAGAGTGCATTACTAATGAACTCACCCTGAAATGAATGAAACACTAGTTTGATATGATTTGTAATAACTGCAAATCACTAGTGACTTCCAACTTCTGATACTGTTCATCGGTAGATTTTGAGCCTAGGGAATGATTGAAAATGAAACAAAAATATGAGTCATCACAGAGTTCTAGGCAGAGGTCACCGAATTACTGCTCTAGTACTCTACCAATTGAACTACGAGACCGAACTTTTAACCAGATCTTAACTTGCTATATGAATTCGTGACGTGTAACTGTCTATTTATTGTATTCACACTAACTACACAGTCAGATCTTGTCATCCCGATCTCAATCAAGTTGAATTAGAGAGGATGGGTATCTTGTTGATTATAATTGTAACTATCTGAGAAAGCCGTAGTTTGACGGCCTTGCATCACTGATTCTGGATGATGACTGAAGATGTATCATCAAAAATCTATAGTAAAATTGTTAGACAGCTTTGAGTAAACACTCAGATATGTAAGCACAGAAAGACTACAACAGTTCAGTATGTTACAAACCTTTTTTAATCATATATACGTTCAATCAACAGTAGAATAATTGTAGCATGAAAACAGGATAAAATCAATTCTATTAGAATCAAACCTTTAATTTTTCTTTATATTCCTCATGATCATTATCAGCCTGCTGTTGAGTACGTTTTATGGTATTATGAGCATTTTCAAGTTCACTTTTAATTCGTGTCAATAGGATTTCTTTACGTTGTTGAATTTGTGTCAAAATGTATACTGAATTTGTTCGTAAATTATTCATTGAATCATCTAAATATTTTTTCAAGGAATCAAGTACTTCTTCAATGGAAATATTGTCTATAGTCCATTTTCTTGTCATATTAGGTATTGTAATTTCTTTGTTTAATCTTGAAAAACAAAATCAAAAGGAAGATAACTTTATCCGGGCATATATTTATTAAATGACAGCTAGGCAACAGACTAACTGGTTGATTGCTCGACTCCGGCTGCGGTCCAGATTTTCATCTCACTTTCAATCATCACCCAGTATAAACTAAGTTTTGTTTAGACATTGAAGTATATCGACAACAATATATTTTTAGATTCCCATGTAAGTGAATTATAACTTGTCAACTAAAATGAGGGTTATAATTGTAATTGATAATAAATACCTACACCATTAATGATCACGTACAAAGTTAAAACCTGAGAAATACAGGTAGTTAAACCTTTTTAAAAGAAATGCATTTCATAACTTAAAGAATTTTTAATAATTTAAAGATCCCCATAGATTATGATAACTTGGTTGGTTGTGGCTATATATATATATATATATATATATATATATATATATATATATATATATATATATATATATATATATATATATATATATATATATATAACTGCTTGAGGTCCACGCGGAAACAAAAACCAGTGATTAGAGACTCTAGGTGCTATAGCTCACAATCGGTGTTAGATTATCTAAATCTTAATCGTTGTACTGAATTCAGCACTTCGTCATTTCTCCTTCTCCCCTCTGACTACTTTCTATTGTTTTGATCCATTCTTCTCTATTTTTTAATCTTTCATCTTACTCCTTTTTTGTTCCATTTATAAATGTGAGATTTGGGAACTTGGACGGTTATACAGTATTGCTTGGTCTTCCGTTGATAATAATAATAATAATAATAATAATAATAATAATGCAGTTTAACGGAAAATCTAATTGAGACTAGTTGTAACTGTTGCATAGAAAAGTAAAATTGACTTACACAGTTTGTGTTTCTACATCTAAGTCTAAATTGAAATCAGATAAACTGTAAAGACCTTGTACATTTACTTCCAAAGTCTGATAAATGTCAGTGGTTAAATTTCCAATTTTGGATGTGATTTGTGTTGATAGAGTTATTACATCCTCTAAAATTTTGTCTTTTTCAGTTTGATTTTCCTCTTGTATTTGTTTTTGAACAGTTGTAATTTCATTCTCTATAGCCTTTTGTAGTTCTCTGTTATGCTTCACTTCCATATTGGAGATTTTCTGAGTATTTAAAAGTATTTTACAAAGAAAAAATGGCTACAGTAATGGGTCTTTTAAGTTGTAGAGAGTTATGAAACTGTACTGAAAGATTTAGATAAATCATATTTAGTAGTCTACTTACTATTAACATTATTATTATTATTTTCCTTTGGGTTTCTAGTAGAACATAGGACTTCAGTAGCATTTCACTCTTTTCTCTTCAGTCTTTTCAAACTGGCGCCACGACTGCCAACAAGCTTTCATTTCCTCCTCACATGATCTCCTTCATGTCACCCTCTCCTCGGATGCCCAACTCCTTGTCTCCCCTTTGGATTCCACTTGATGGCCTGGCCTGGTGTGTGATGTCCCCAGTTTGCCTTCTCAGTGTATGCTCAATCCATCTCTATTTTCTTCTGTACATTTGTTGGGTGATAGGCTCCTGGTTGGTTCGTTCCCAGAGTTCCTTGTTGCTTATTCTTTCTAGCCACCTGATCTTCAGTACCGAGTGAGTGTAGCCGGCAGCTGTTGATGAGTATTTGTAGTTTATTGGAAGTGCCTTTCATGACATGCCAAGTTTCTGAACCATCACATAGCAGCACTGACTTGACTGAATTGGTGTTGGAAATCCGGATCTTGTTCATGCTTTATGCTGAGTGCAGAAGATCTTAACACTGGTTTCAGGCTAATGTACACCTGTCTCACTGTCTTTTCGGTCCTGGATTTGACATCCTAGTCTGTGCCTCCTGTAGTCGAAACAATGCTGCCTAGGTAAGTAAGAGACTACTTCTTTTAGATTTCTCTTTTTAATGGTGATTGGTGCTTGTTGTTGATGCCATTGTCGGTTGGGTATCTTCATCACCTCCGTCTTCTCTACATTCACTTAAAGTCTCCTCTATCAGCTTCCATGTGTCCATCGAGATCCATTCCTTGTCTTCTTTCTTCTTCTTTCCTAGTACGGTTATGCAGGTTTCTTTCCACATAACTTTCAAAGAGTTGCAGTGGTCTTCCAGGTTCTATCCTTCAGGGATGTTGCTCAATGTCTCCCATTTTGTTCTGATGGCTGAAATTAAGATGTCCCCTGTAGTTTCGTCCTTCAGCTCAGTTTCTGTTCTGGGTGTTGAACTTGAACTGTGGTCTATCACCAACTTCCTTCAAGGCTTTCAACTTGATTTGGAAGGTTCCTTGCACTAGATAGTGAGTGGTGTGAACCTACATCTGCTCCTCTTCTTAATTGTTTACTTAAATAGTTTTAATATGTATTGTTTGTTTCGGACAGGTGTTTCAATCTCTTCCTGAAGAATACGAACATCTTGGAATATACTTGACCAGAGTACAACATGTGTTACCGACATATCATTTTACCTGCACTATCTGTAAAGTTAGACAGAACAATTCGAAAGGTGTACGACTTCATAGTTTGTACATGATAAAAATGTTGGCATTCCAATAAATCAAACCCTAACTTTGTATGCAGGAGAAGTAGGTCAAGTCTCTCTTACTACCTCAGTTCTGGTAATTTTCGCAATTTCCTTCTCTTTTTAGAAAAAATCCTCTTTAATTGTAGTACATGCTGCTATAAAATGATAGAAAATCATTTATCAACAAATCTGGTGACAGTTGAGGCCTTGATTACGTGATAATATTGACTATGTATGGTTCATAAACTTCAGAAGACTTACACATGAGCATCAAACATTTGTGCCGCTGAATTGAATGATTTAACTTCAAAATTATTCAGTATTCTTTAGTCAATCAATATTGTTAAGCACTAGAAACTACCGCATACTTTATTGAGTCTTGCAGGGAACTAAAAGTAATACATCGACCTTATTAGTAACAACTTTAGTCGAAAACGAGTGAACGGAGTTCCCACCTTCAGAGTACTACGATTTAAATATACACAAGTATCAACTTTGAAAACCGATACATACTTTGTTCAAACTCCTAACACAGTTATAAAAGTTTAGATTATTCTATCTTTTAGTTGGTTGGAGACAATCGGCAGGAAGCCTTGCTTGGTCAGTATTTAGTGTTTATTGGCACTTGTCAGAAAGGCGTTTCTGCAACCTCAAAGGGGTTGATGTCCCACCTGAGATTCGAACATGCCTTACTAAACGCTGCACTCAGTGATGTTACCACTGAGCTATTCTGGCGCAACTGACCTCTTTCCTAGCACAAAATGGATTTCAGTTGTCATGCCTGTGTTTGTTCTCTCTTGTTACAAGTCTACATTATGTAAATTTAGCCTCTTTAATTTCCGTAATAGATGTGGATACAAAAGGAAGAAGGATTAGTAATTCATTGAATAGACTCTTTTCAGGGATTTCAGACGTGAAGCTGCGTATCCAATAATGTGTACAATTTTAGTGAGCATCTTTAGTCTATTTAATGCCTTTAGTAATTAAATGGTTTGATGACGACCAAAATAATACATCAACACTCTAAATGTCATCCACATCATAAAATAGTCAAAAATCCCATCAAATAGGACGATATTTGGAATATTAAGATGTTAATTTGCTTGTTGCTTTGAGCAAGTAGCTACCACAACTATAATATACACCATAGATGTCCAATAAATACAGCATATGCAACAAACTGAACAGCTTCGTGATTGAGAACATCCAGAAAAGTCTTTTGCTAAACTACTCACTCCTCTGTCTTAGCGTTTATGAAACACTACACTAATGTAGTTTTGAGGCTTCTGACGGTGACTGTATCAGATTGGTTGGACAAAAGAAATTCCTTCTTCTTGAACCTACAAGTAAACAAATCATCATTTCGCACTGCATACACAGACTTCTGGATCTAGCAAGTATACAATCATCCAGTGATTGCGCTGAAAAACAATGACTGATGGTTTTCAATATCTGTTACTCGATGATATAACGCTATCTCAATTCATTGCAGATTTTGTTAACCAAGCAAGCTACAGCTCCTGAGCAGAACCTTAGGAAACATATCTTAAAGTATTTAACAAAGCGAAAGTGAACTGCTATTCAAGTGAACTGTTCGGAAGTAATTCATTAAATTCATAACGGGCTTGTACACAGACCTGACACGTCTGAGCTCAGTTATGCTTCAGATCATGGTTTCACACTACTGAGGGAACCATAAACATGGCGAAACACTTTCCTAGAACTCCATGGTTTTTGACAGTTTTTTAAGGGATATCAATATCCCTGATCAAAACTCTAGAAATCATTCAATTCCTCACAAACCACTCCGAGAAAATATTTTTGTCTGTATGAAATGACCAAGAGGAATAAGACGAAGGTAGTAACGATATTGAACTCAGTGGTACACTGGAACTGAATTCCAGGGTAACTATTCCTCCTCAACATTTTATTCTTCACTGAGCCACCCAAATATCAAAACACAAAGGCTGACCTGCATCTGAAAGGACAACGACGACAATTCCCACACACATAAAAAATGTCCTAGGCCAAAGATAGAATAACACAATCCTATTGGCTACAGAATCGTGCAGTAGAGTTATTTTGTTCATATATAGACATAAATCAGAATCGGAAACAAAACGCTTCTACTCTAACGGCTGATGAACATGAACGCTGATTACTATATTTGACCACCCCTTTCACTGTACGTCTGAGATGACAATGGATGTCGATGACCCACTTACTGAGTATATTGTTGTTTTATCCATATTGTTAACCCGTTTTGACCTAGATTCTGGAATTAGGCTTTGAGAATCGTTGGACCATTTGTTCTCATAGTTTCAGTCTCCATATTACTTAGTGGGATATAACGCAGTCCTTTTGACCGCAGTTTTAAATCATACACATTTTCAGGTAGAGTTCATTCTCGCCTACAAATTTGTTGACTTTCTCGTACACTGATTCACCTTAAAAATTTGTTTCATAACAGGCATCCGTATGTCTGCATGTGAAGTAACATCTTGATTATTCAGCAAAAGTACTACTGGACCAGTTGGATTACTTTGTCAATATGAACATTGGTTGGCAATTAAACATCACTATATTTCGTCTCCTATATCAATAAATGCGACCAGATATGTATATGGATTCGATTTTGAAAATGTAAATACCTTGGATGCAGGAAACGAGAAGAATACCAAAAAATTCTCAGAAATTTGACATTGAGGTCAACCAGCAGTCAGTAGGTGCATTGACATAGGCCCACTCTATCAAGTAATAAGAAAAATGCTAAGCAACTACAAAGTCAGAGGTCAGACAGAGAAGCGGCCAATAGGAAAATCTGTACCGTCACTAACAATAACTATAGGAAACAACAAATCACACACCACATTAGATTGTTTATTTGATTCATATAGCACACAATAATACAATATTGTTTATCTCATGACCGTTTGAACGTAAATTATCATTTCGAAATCCTATTTCTTTCGTACAAAAGATTTAGCTACTCATAAGTAATATGAAGAGACAAAAAGGTTTATGAGTAAATTCAGTGCCTTCTCTGTGCTGAAATGAAGCCTGATAGCCTGAGTATATAAATTCTAGTCAGATTTTCCACTAGGTGTTTAAATCCCCCCGAATCTCACTAGTATCTAGATCACCGTCATGGAACTTACAGTACCCTTTCTTTTAAATATAGTCTAAGACAAGAACATACTATTTTGTAAAATCTTTTTGAGCGTTTCTATCTGACAGAAATCGGATTATATGCACTTCCGCTGATCCCTATAAATAAGCATATCAATTTTCAAGTAAATAATGATGTTGGCGGAATATATACGATGGTAAGATATTCAATGTAAGTTCTACAATAATGACTATACTCAATTTATTTTGTAGCGAAATTGGTTATTTCGTTGGTAAAATCATCATTTGAAAAAGAAAATTCTGTTTGTTGCTTTTAAGGTTTTATTCAACATGAACTGGCATCTGTTGAAGGACTGTTGCAAACCTAGTTACAATGGACTACTCAGTAGCCGACATGAAACACCCAGTTGGGGATCGAATCCAGGAGCATCATGTTTCACGGAGAATGCGCCAGCCATTAATCCTCTGAGTTGGTACTCAGTGGTACATAATTTGGTACTTCTGTCATTTTGTGATACAACATCACTATCATTCAAGGTCTACAGTTGGCATCCACTCCACTTTCGGCTGGCTGACCCCACAGGTCACGGTTTCTCACTAAAACTTCAGGAAACCCATCAGGAGGCATATCACTAATGAGCGCTACACAGTAATTTAGTTTAACTTTTGTGGTTTATAGGGATCTTATTTTTATTTCTAAAGTATGATGGCAACGGGAAGTTGTGGTCACTGAACTTCCACCATTTTATTGGTCTGAACTGAATGACCGCTATCAGCATATGTGATCCTCTGTAGATGCTTCACTATTGCCGATATTTACCGGTTGTTAGTATGGAAAGACAGCGGCTAACAGTGGAGTCCATGACTGATATTTCGTTCCGTTCGTGACTCGTAAGGTAAATACACCTGTCCCGCAGTGTGATTTTGTCATCAATGAGACTTGGTCTAGGAGCCATTGCTTTAAACTCCAAGATGTTATGCACTAGGGTACTAAGTCGTTATAGGCTTTTCTTGCATGAGGGGTACAGTTTTGATATTGTAGATTGTAATCTTCTATCACTGATTAGATCGAGGGGATAAGGCTTCAGCGCCTGGAGTGATGTATCCTGTGTTTGGGTCCCTGTAGGAACAATATCACAGACTTGGACGCGAGTACACCTAGTTTATAAGTCCAGAACAGGATGAAAGATAGATATTGGATTCCACCGCTAGCTATTGTTGATCATTACCATCAAACTAAGAGACTACAAATTACATGGTTATGTATGAATTGTTTTTCAATCGCCCAACTATGATATCAACAGATTTTCATTTGGAAACCACCCTGTCAAGATCACAAATTTTGTTCACTTGCAACTCATTTCTTCAGTGGATTTTTCTATCGGGAACTACAGTTTGTGATATTGACCGAATAATTTTGCTTTAGAGACCCTTTTTATACAACAGTTGGGGAGTTAAAAAGCCTTATTCATTCGGAAGAAATGGCAAGTTTAACTCTACATTCTGTAAATAATTTGTAGACTGATCTCTGGTTTTATGCAATACTGGTCTATTGAATTCAGTTAGTCAGATTTATTTGATCTAAACAATTAAGGTGTCTACAAAGAAATATTGATGGTACGTTGGTGATGAGTTTAAATCTTAACAGTCATCAGATGATTAAGTCATCTTTATATTACTTGTGAACTGTAGTATCTTCCAACTACTCATATGCTTCAGTAGTATGTCTAGTCATGTTTCACATCACTATTAGCTCCGTTTATACTAAAAGCGAACCTGTGTAGAAATATCAGTTTATACTTAATACTCGTATGAGCGAAATTTATTAAAGATCGAGGGCAACGTAAACCGATAACTGACAATATTTTATTACAACCACTAATATACCCATGTTGACCGCTATAAATTCCTGCTGAAATAATCGTGTTCACAGGAATTACTGAAAGAACGATTGAAAACTTCATTATTTCGACATTATTACCATCTCTGTGTTCAGATTTTTTTATTGTTTAATAAACCATCTTTCTTGTATTACACATGATTGCCTAAAGCCAAGCAAAACATAACACGTTTTAATTTCCTATGAATGATGATACTCTCCATGAATATCAGCTTTAAGAATTTTATTCCACTTCTCATATTCAACTTTCCTTTCATTATCAAGCTAAAAATTATTACTACTTACTTCATTATAAAGTTGTTGCATTTCCCTTACATCCATTTCATGCTTCATTTTTAGCGTTTCTATCTGATTTTCCAATCCGGTTACTTTTCGTTCCGATTCACTCTGATATATATCACACTCCTATTTAAATAAGAAAACATTTTAAGGATGTTGAAATCTGAGCCAACTCATTCTTATGCGTTTTTTTACCTGGTCAGTATGTAAGACAGCTTATAATGATAAAAAATTATGATTTACTAAGTTACACTTTTAATATACTAAACTGACTAAAGCGACTGTTGGAAATTGCTAGTTATCAGTCACCTCCATTATCTGAAACTAGTTGTGTGGTGATGAATGGGAAATCTTCTGATGAGTTTATTTCATCATCGATGGATGATTCGTAGTTTCCAACTGTTGTCATAATTTTAATGTGTCTGTAACATCCTCTGATATCGTCGGCCAACATTTTTTATTATTCCTTATTTAGTCAGATCTATGGGTCATAAATTTCCTCTAGACTAGTGAATTTTACGTGGAATCAAGGTACTAATGCTCAATGGACAACTAATTAATTCAGTGATTTGTTAGGAAATAATTTCCGTTGGTATAGTGTTCATTGTATACTGGGATTTTGAAAATCATCATCATCATCAAGGTCAATATAGGACCAGACATTACTGCGCAACGGTCCCATATCAGCACATCAAGTAACATCCAATCAAATCGAAGATGAAGAAAGAAAAATTGGTCAAAGGAAGTCGAAGTAGAAAGTATTGAAAGAGAAGAAGAGAGAATGAGATGATGAGATTAAGTATAGCAAATAAGATGAGGATAATGTGTGTACACTTCCGCGCCACTGACATCAGTTCTGAGCCATATCACGTATGGTCACTCTCTAACCACTGGTCCCCTTTGTCCCATGGACCCCAAATAGCTGGTCTGTATCGCCCTATATAGCTCAAACCAACAGTCAAAAACTTCATACATTGACGCCCAGTTTTAGTCTGGCCGCTTCAGGCCTTTTCCCAGCCTGAACTTCGGCCAACATTATGTGACGAGGCAGACGATTGTCAGACGCTTGTAACACATGTCCCAGCCAGCCATCTCAGTCGATGAAGGTTAACAACCGCATCAACTATCTTACCTGTACTCACTAAAATTCCACATCTGACCTCTGTTTTATTCACATGGTGACACCACAAAACACGACCTATGCTACCAAGGCGGCTGTTGTCGAACACCTGTAAACTTCTACCTTTAATGGCCATGTTTCACAGCCATGCAGTAGAACAGTGTGGACTGTAGCACGGTGCACTCGACGCTTAATAGAATTTTGTCGAAAACCGTAAGAGTTTCATCATTCCTAGCACAGGTAACGATATGCTTTTACCATCAGACTAACGTCACGACGGCACTAAACATGACCCAGATTGATGTATGCCACTCTGGCCTTCCAGATATGGAAATTTCACCACTCACACCTCCACCAGCATACACACAACTATCCAGATACATGAACGTTTTGACCATTTCCAATGGCTCACCACCAAGGGAGAGTGCAGGCACAGGTTCCTGCCAATCTTGTCAAAGTATTTTGCACTTCAATGATGCAAGGCACATGCCATACTTACGGACACTAATGACGAACTAATTAAGTGCGATTTCAGTAGCCCGTGTGTTATCACACAGTAGGATGATATAGTCAGCATATTCAAGGTCGAACGGTGACACTTCAGGTAGTTGATCTGCATCACTATCGCGCACTACCTTCAGTGCTGTCGTAAGAATGTCATCAGTGGCAAAGTTAAAGAGGAATGGAGAAATCGAGCAACACTGCCTAATCCCACTTATGGTTTGGAACAATGGAGACAGATGGCTGAATGCTTTTACATATGGTGTTATTATATCAAATGACTTATGCTGGACACTGTTAGTTTACTGTAACCAATCTCAAAAGAGTGGTTTCTCAACTCCTAGGTTTAGATGTTGGTAACAGATAACCTGCATGGCAAGAAATTTGCTGTAGCTTCTTCAGTAAATTGTTGGACATCATCACAATTATTCACTGATACTTGTAATTTCCCTTTGATATACTGAATCGCATTGGTCGAACTGTGTTGATGCACCGGTTCCTATACAAATACCTCGACGTTGTCTGAATATTCTTATGCTATAATTTACTTAGCGGTTACTAGCAGTAGAATCCAGGACTCAATTTTTGTCCTATTTAGAACTCATCAGTCTAGTTTACATGCCTCCCAATGAGTGATAGTGTTCTCACTGAAAATCGGACCGCATACCCATCGTTTTAAACACCGAAGTGTTATTCTCTAGGCCAATGATGCAGGACAGCCGCACCTTAAGCAAATCAGTAAAATTGAAGTGGTGACTGCATAGTCACTTCTAGTGACAATGAACTGATCTTTTAAATTTAATTTTGTGTAAATGTGCATTATTTCTAAGCATTTTGCAGGTATATTCTCCACCCAGTCTCCTCGATTAAAATGATACATCAACTGGAGAAACATTAAAAACCTGAGAGCACTGGATAGCTGTCTTGTACTGCTATGGGACTCCTAAGGAGTGCACACTCATGATCCTACCTCACCGATGAACCGAAGAACTTCAGGCTCCGTGGTCAGCACGTTACCACTAGACCACTGGGTCATAGGTTCTCACTGCTAAGGAGTCCCATACTAGGACGAAGCAGCTGTTCAGTGCTCCTAGGTTTCCTACATTCTTCCAGATAATGTCAGTCCATGACGAATACGAACTTGAAAAATCCTCACAAACCCCTAAATAAAAAAAATGAAACATTTTATTTTTAAGAAAAAAAGTATAATATTTAACAATTATTGTAGAAAAAAGCTACCTTTTGAATAGTTTTTAATTTATCTTGATAAAATTTAACCAAATCTTTTTGTTCTTGTAATTCTTGTTTCAATGTTTCAATGCATGCATCTTTTTCATCTTTTAATTCATTCATTTTAATTTTCCATAATTCAAATTTCTCTTTCTCCCATTCAGCTAATTCTTTTGATCGAGCTTCAACTGTTTGAACTTTTAATTTTTCTAATATTTCTTGACTACGACTTTCTTGTAATTGACTTTGTGTATTTGTCAATGTATCATTTAACTTTTGTATCTCTGTTTGTTTAGCCTACAGGAAAAAGGTGACATTATTGTTATCAAAAAAAGTGTTATAGACTGATGAACACAGATATGAATCAGTTTTTAAGATGGTGTTCATCATGAACTGATATAAGTTGGAAAATCATTGAAAAACTGGGAGTACTGGACAGCTGTTTCACCCTAGTATGGGAATCCTAATCAATATGCTGCACCCACGACCCCATCAGGAATAAAACTCAGGACTTTTTCAGATCTCACAACGAATAAATTAATATAAATTGGTTGGTTATGGCTAGCAGAAGAATTCAGTACGCTCGTTTCTTTCTGTTTGGGACTTGCCAGCTGGATATACCTGCACCCCAGTGAGTAATGTTGTTCCCATTGGGACTCGGACCTCTCACCCATCGTTTCAAACGCCATGGCCTCATCAACTATGCCACGGAGGAACGACAGCCACTTCTAGTACAACGGGTAGTAGTTATTACTATTTATTGACGTACTTGTTATTCTCCGCTGTTTCGTTGGATCGAATTGTTCGACTTCTATTGGTATATGTGGTGGTATGCGGATGTCTGGATATTGGTTGAATGTTAATTATGATAAATTGGTTGGTTATGGCCAGCAGAATAACAAGTATGTCGATAAACAGTAATAACTACTACCCGTTGTACATGAAGTAGTTGCCGTTCTTGCGTGGCATAATGGCTAACGTCCTGGCGTTTGGAACGGTGGGTGCGGGGTTCGAGTCTCAAAGGGAACAACACTACTGACTTGGGTTCATCCAGCTGGCGGGTCCCAAATAGGACAAAATACGCGTACTGGATTCTTCTGCTGGCCACAAACAACCAAATTATCATAATTAACATTGAGGCAATGTCCGGGTATTCACATAGGAGCCCATATGCCAATGGAGGTCGAACAATGCGATCCAACAAAATAGTGGAGAATAACAAGTATGTCAATAAATGGGGATAAATTGTTGTCATGTTAAAAAAAAACAGCTCCAACTATCTGTTTAACGTTTAAAAAAATTCTCTTAATGAAATAATTTGAGCATTTAACCAGACTGGATTAAGCACAGAAACAAAGAGGTTGTGATATTACAGCGAACATTCTCCCAATCAGGATTGCATAGAAATAAATCCTTTACTAAAATTATTTCCTTCGTAATATCATTCTATGCATAACTGCTACAGTTGACTGGTGCAATCCAAATCTATGTTGGTAAATTTTACCTGAAAGTTGATATTTTATCTCTTGTGATATCAAAAATGATTACAACTTTGAGAACTCTTTTGTGAAATTACTACACTGTGAGAGAGAATTCCCGAATCAAATAACATTATCTTATTTCATGGATCTTCATCATCTGCACAAAGCTTAAGATTACAACAAAATTATTTGAAGTTGTTATTCATCGTAGACCGACATCAGTTGGGGGAACAAAGGAAACCTGGGAGCACTGGACAGCTGTTTCGTCCTAGTATGGGACTCCTCAGCAGCGCGCACCCACGACCCCACCAGCAGGGATCGAACCCGCGACCTTCAGATCCCGCGGCCAGCGCGTTACTATTGAGCCACTGGGTCAGAATCCGGTGCTCCATATTTCCAACTTCTGTTAGCTCACGATTAGCTCACAACTTGAAATAATTCCAAATCTTCACAACTCCCTCAAAATTTAAAATTATTTGAATCATAAACAGAAAATTTAATTGCTTTGAAAGTGAAATAAGATTTCTGAATTCGGTAACGACAGTAGCAGAGTGATTTGAGAAGACAGGAAGAAGTGGGAATAACTTATTGTGTCCAAGTGATAAGTTACATGTCATAAGACCGACCGTTCTAGATTATTCGAGAAACATAATTGAATTACCACAAAGTACTCAGTAGTACCATGCTTTGGGATGAATTTCCTAGAGTTCCAATAGGAAGCCATGACGTGTGACATGAATCAGTTAGGGTGTAAAGACAAATACTCGTATAATATCTCAAGTAGACGGAAGCAGAGGAATTCGAGTTGCTGGATTCAACCCAACATCTCTACGAAACATGACCGTCCTAGTCTCAACTCATGAGGAAGGATTCATGTGTTGAAATAATGGAGAATATTTGTAGCTCAGGTGGATGGTCTTGGCTGTATTGTGTTCTCTGAGTTGGGTTGTTTAATTGTGAAGCTTTCATCATCTTCCTAGACAACATCATCAGCAATAACTTCAGTATGAAGTGAGCTGTCAATATCTCTCCGTGAGTGATTTAGTGGCTTGCTCTGACGATGTGGTCTGTGATTGGTTGTTTCCTCTGGTTATGTCACTGACTGTGCAGATTTTCCTGTTGGCTGTTCCTTTGCTTCACATCTGACCTTTCTGTCGTTTATCATTTTTCTTATTGGTTGATAGATTGGATCTATGTCTATACATCTGTTGATTTCTGACTGACTGACTGACTGACTTGAATACCAAGCTTCCAGGATTCTCTGACATTCTTTGTGTTTCCTCTGTCCAAACTTTCTACATTGTCGAAATTCAATTCATGTCTATGATTATCCACGTGCATTGAAATGAGTAACGAAATGTCATCTGTAACGTTTAATGGCCAATTGGTGTTCATGTAGACAAAGGCGAAGAGGGCGGCCACTTTGTCCAATGTAGTGTTGACCACAATTATTGCAGTTGATTTTGTAAATGATATTCCGTTTGTCTTCTTTTGCACAGTCAGTGACATAACCAGAGGAAACAACCAACCATGAGTCAGTTTGACAGGATAAGCTACTAAATCACTCATAGAGAAATACTGACAGCTCACTTCATACTGAAGTTATTGCTGATGATGTTGTCTAGGAACATGATGAAAGTTCTACGACTTAACAACGCATCTCAGCGAACACAATACAGCCAAGCCCATCCACCTGAGCTACAAATATTCTTTACTATTTCATGTTAATACTAAGCAACCAATCATTTGAAGGATTTCACTTCACAAAGAAGGAATCCAATGGCAGTATTCCATTCTTAGATGTCGTAATCAGCATAACAAATGACCGGACTTTACAAACCCAAGTGTAAAGGAAAACCACATACAGAGATTAAATATTCAACTACAACAGCAATCATCCTACATTCCATAAGAAATGTGTACAAACATTATTCTCAAAATCCAAAACAAATTTCATTATTGAAGCACTACTGAAAGCCGAAGGAAAATACCTGTATAAAGTATTCAGAGCTAAAGGTTATTTAGTCAACTTTACCAAAAAGTGTTTATTAGTAGGATAGAAGATAGTGCAACTGCTTGAAATAAATAGGTGCGTTACACTACCTTACATCAAAGATATCTCAGAAACAGTCAATCGATTGCTTTGATCTTTCAAAATTACAATAGAGTACAAACCAACGAAGTCACTAGACAGCATGTTGTGTAAACCAAAGGAGATCTAGTGATAAAAGAAAACAGGACAAATATAATCTATAAAATCAGTTGCAAAAATTGTTCACAGCATTATGTTGACTATTTTAACTGTCAGATTACTCAAAGAATTCATGAACATCAGCTAACAGTAAAGCGATATCACTTAGGCCTCCTTGGTTTCACTGCATTCAGAATGTGAAAATCCTCTAAATAATAAGTTCGAAATCTGCAAGAGAATTTCCAGAACCATGGCATTTAGATGAAATGTCCAATCAACAGGCACGTTAATATAAACTTAATCTAGAATCTATTTAGGAAGAAAACAGTCGTCTATCTATTATTATTATATTTCATTATTTGTCCCTTGGGTTTCTAATGGAACATAGGGCTTCAGAAGCACGTCTCCAGTGCACTCTGTTCTCTGCAATCTTTTGAACCTGGCTTTACGACAGCCCACAAGCTCTCATTTCTTCCTCTCACGATCTCCTCCATGTCACCATCGGACGCCCAACTCGCAGTTCCCCATTTGGGTTCCACTCAAGGGCCTGGCGATAGCTACTCCCTCAGTGTGCTCGTGGTTGTCGTCTGGGTGACAATATCGAAGTAGATTCGATTATTGACTCTCCAGTTGACATTTTGTAGAGTCCACTTGCAATCCACCTGCTTTCGCAAATTCCTAGCACTTCAATACTATACCTTCTCATCTCGTTTGCCAGCTGGGCAGCCGCCTTGCTAGGTTCAAATATAGTGCGGAAATTCTATGTCCCCATGTTTACTTTCGCTTTCATTGAGGGAGAGAAGACACATCTGCCAATTGGCTTTCCGAAGGCTTTCACCAATCGGCGTCATTTCGTCTCTCCGATTCCAGCGAGGAATAATTTTGTTTTTATTTTTTGTATTTTGTTTGTGTTTTGAAGTTTCTGTGACGGTTGGATTTGTTTTACGGGGTTGAGTTGCTAGCCCTATGCCCAACCTTCCCTCCTTACCCGGGCTTTGTACCAGTTGGTAACTAGTGAACTAGTTAACCAAGCGAGATTGTCGTTCATCTACCAAGGGTGAATTGATGAGTTAAATCAATAATAATTCACAATGTGACAACAATAAACAACACAGTTTTACTCCAACAAAGAATATCTAATAAGTGACTGAAAGAAACTGTAAGTCAAAGAGGTCATAGTGTGATAAAATATTTATCTCCTAACTTACAGTTGGACAACATTCAAGGTCAATAAAAATCCTATCTAAACACTCGTGGAATATTAGGATATGCTTCGCTTCTTTATAAAGTTAATACTGAAAATATCACCAAACCTGATGATGAAACATACACGATAAAAATATCAAAGCTGAGAAAATACTAAACCATCATCACTGTTGTTCTAGCTTTGCTATAAATTTTGAAGGGAATCAATCGTATGAAAAATTATAATTTATATTTTTCTTCACTAGGCTCTTCAAAACAAAGTTATACTTAACTGTTGAATCATCATTAACAAACTAAATAGTTGAATAGATTTGAATATGTAAATGTTAAAGTATAGAAGTTCAATATATATTTATTTGGCTAATAGTTCATCTTAACTAACAGTGAATAACATACCTACTTTTTAAAACAAAAATAAGTTGATAGTCACAAATATGTTGCCTATCGAAGCTTCATGCTACGTTTGCGTATGTATATAACAATAAGGTAATGAAACGAAGAAATCTAAGCCAACTAAAAACATCTAACTACTAGTAAAAGGATTGTACAAACCAATATATATATATATATATATATATATATATATATATATATATATTCGCTATTATCAGTGTTATTTTCGTGATTATGATGACCATTGTTGTCCCCATTCAAACTCGAACTCGAGACCGACCACCTCCAGTCTACCACTGAATCACGACAGACGCCCCTTGTACGACAGGTATAATTATTATACTGCCACTTGTATTACCCCGTCATTGATTGGGTCGAACTGATTGGTCTCCATTGACATATACGCTCCTGCGTGGATGCTTTGATACTGCCTGTCATTTCAGTTTTATGGTAATGATCACTTGTTGGCCTAATGGATAACGCTATGGCGTTTGAAGTGATCGGTTGCAAGTTTAGGTTTTAGTTGGAACAAAATCGCTCACCGGGAGCAGATACATCCAGCTGATGAGTACGTAACGGAACAAAACGTCTATACTAGATTCCAGTGCTAGCCACTACTCATCATAACCATAAAATTGAAACAACAGGCAACATTAAGGCATCCACATTGAAGCACATACGCCAAATGAGACCGATCAATTGCATCCGATCAACGGCGGGAGTGATACAAGTAAAAGCGTTTAAACAATCATTATTTCTTATTTCTTAAGCTTCTATTTTTAGATATAAACAGTAACACGAAAGGAATATTTACAAAAAAACACAACAATACCATTAGTTTGCTTTGTAATTCTTGAATAGCTTCTGCATAACATGATCTTACATCACTGATCACCTGAATTTTCTCCTTCTGCATTTGTTCAACAAGTTCATTCAATTGAGCAGAGTGTACATCCATCAATTTAGATATCTCTTTACCCTGTGATAAACATCATTGATAGTATTAAAAATAGACAAATAATACTTTTTCCACACACTAAAAGTGAGTCGAAAGTGATGGCAGTTACTCAACGACGGCAACGGATGGAGATAACGTTACATTATGAACTGACAGAAAGAAAAAAATGAACAGTTGGATTCCGACCCAGTAGCTCAACGGTAACTTGCTAGTAGCGGAACCTGAAGGTTCTTGAATCGGGCCCTGGCGAAGCGGGGTCATGAGAACACACGGCTGAAGAGTCTCATACTAGGACGAAACAGTTGTCCAGTGCTTTAACAAAAGTTGACTTTATGAAGTAAAATAGTTCAGGTTTGCAAACATTAAATGGAGGAAATGTGATCTTCTCAATATCACTCAACCTATCGTAGAAACAACGGTAACTTTTACTGATGAAGTTAACTTCTGAACAATATTAACGATGCGTAGTGGCTAGTGGTGGGATCCAGGATGTGTGTTTCGTCCTGTTTGGAAGTCATCAGCTGGACGTATCTGCTTTCCTACCTATAGTTGATGTTGTTCCCACGTAGATTCGGAACCAAGATCAGTCGCTTAAAGCGCCAGAGCTTTATCCACCGGGCCACTGAATCACAACAACCCCTCCGTTTACAATCAATATAGTTTATTTTTGATATTATAGCTTGCAAATCTCCGTCGGCGGTTGGATCGAGCTTATCGGGCACTATTGGCATACGGGATATTTACAAGTTATGACATTAAAACTAACATTTAAACGTTTCAAACTGGTATTCATCGTGGACTGATATCATCTGGAGAACCAGTGAACATTTGGGAGCACTGGGTAGCTATTTTATCCCAGTATGGGACTCCTCAGCAGCGTACACTCGTGACTTCTCCACGGGTTAAAGTCCGGACCTCCAGATTTCGTGGTCAACACTACCAGTGAGCCATCTGTCGGCCATCTAAGTGTAGACCTCCTTGGTAACTTGCTTCCAGATGAGATTCCTGAAGTTCTAGTGAGAAGTCATGGCCGGTGCGACAAACCAACTCAAACGTGTGAACAAGTACTCGACAGTGGCATTCGATGGAGGTGGCGTGATATCGCCAAGTGACAGTGGGGACCACTGGATTTCGACTCAGTGGCTCGATGACAGTGCGCCCACCTCAGAACCTAAATGTCCGGAGTCCGATCCCTCGTAGGATCTTGGAAGCACGGTGATGAGGTGTCTCATACTAGAATAAAACGGCTGTTCACTGCTCTCAGATTTCTAATAATTCTCTAACTGATGTCATTCCATGATGAATATCAATTGTAAATCAATAAGTCAATTCCCAAAAACCTTCAAATTGAATGACATCTAAATGGTCAGAACTATATATCACTATGACCCTAGACCTCAAAGGTAAATAAGAATGAATTGGTGTACGAAATGACTAACATTTACTGATATCTGTAAAGGTATGAACAGAAAGTCTGGTAGTGTGTGAGGATGTTGTGCAGTTTACTTTCATTACATCGCAAATATTTCATCGGATACACTTTGTAAAGTGAAATCATAAAATATTATCTCTATGTCGATCAAGAATTCATCAATTATTTTACATTCAATAAGTTTTCTACTGTAATAAATGCTTGAATAATTTCAATAGATAATTCATTGCAGTGATAAAAAAAATTTACATTTCGATGAGTATATGTTTATCTTCAACCATTTTTTAAACGATGATACATAAGTTGCATATTGTTGTAGACATGTGCTCAATATTTTTGGTCAGTAGGCCCTGGTTAAAAAGGCCTTCGACAGCGTCGACTGAGAAGTAATTTGGAAGCTACTTCGACACTACGGTTTTGGTGCCACAAAACTTTATCAAACTCATTCAACAGCAGCTATATGCTAGATCATGAAACAAACTGTGAGGAAAGAGAAGAAGGACATACGCTGTTTGACCGATGGAAAGACCCTAGAAGATTTGGATTTCGCCAACGACAATGATTTATGTCTAATGTTTTGTTACACAAACTCGAAGATCTACAGGCAAAAACTAAAAAGCTGGCAGAAGAGGTGAGGCAGCAAAGTAAGACTGGACTTCCCTCAGGTGAACATAGAGAAGACAAAGGTGATGCAGATACCAAACCAATAACAACAAGAAGTACCAGTCACGATCAGCTGGAGAAACCAAAAGGAATTAGTCTGTCTCACCTATCTAGGCAAGGCAGCACTGTTTCAACTAAGCGCGAATAAGATTCGGATTTTCAACACTAATGTCAATCAAGTAAATCAGTACTTCTATGTGATGGTTGAGAGACTTGACGCCTCACAAAAAGCATTTCCAACAAACTGCAGACATTGATCAACAGCTACCGACTACGCTCACTCAATACTGAAGATGGAGATCAGATGGATTGCCAGAATAATAAGAATAAGCAAGGAGTAGGTGTAGCTGGCTGGCTGGCTGGCTGGCTGGCTGGCTGGCTGGCTGGCTGGCTGGCTGGCTGGCTGGCTGGCTGGCTGGCTGGCTGGCTGGCTGGCTGGCTGGCTGGCTGGCTGGCTGGCTGGCTGGCTGGCTGGCTGGCTGGCTGGCTGGCTGGCTGGCTGGCTGGCTGGCTGGCTGGCTGGCTGGCTGGCTGGCTGGCTGGCTGGCTGGCTGGCAACGGACCAACCAACAACCTATCACCCAACAGATATGCAGAAGAAAGTGAAAATGGATTGGATTGGACTGAATTGGACATACACTGAATAGACGGTTTGTGAACACCATACGCCAGACCATCGAGTGGAACCCTTATGGGAAACGACGAGTTGTGTGTCCGAGGAGAGGGTGACTTGGAGGAGATGGTGTGAGGAAGAAATGAGAACTTGTGGGCAGTGATCAAGCCAGGTTAAGCAAACTTCAGAGAAGAGAGTGAAATGGCTATGTGCTACTGAAGTCCTATGTTCCACTAGGAACCCAAGGGACTAATAAATAATAATATAATAGTCGTAAAAGTCATCGCTTATTCTCTACATAACTCATATGAACTGATTACAGTGATTTAGTTGTACACCATTTTAAGTGTTCACTTTATTACTGTATAATCTACAAAAAATATTATCGACAGTATGCTAAACTTACTTTCTCTACAGATTTATTCTCAAGAAGATCTTCATATTCATGACGAATTTGTCTTTCTTTTTCTCTATGTTCTTTAATTATTTCCAAGTTTTCAATTCTATTAATTTATATTAAAACATATGTAGAATATATTACTTATGGAAAATTGTCCTAAGTTCATTCGAATGTTAGTCAACATTTCCACAGTTGAATAACTGAAATCTAAACTTAAATATCCTTCTGGTGTTAATTTTGTAATTCCATATTTGTTGAACAATTAATTCCATGAAATAATACTGATCTACATTCCACTGACTTTTAAGAAATCTCAGTGCATACTTCATGTGATTTTTTATCAGACGCCAGAAAGAATAAGAAACAAAGAACACTCTGACTGACTGGCAACGAACCAAACAAGAACCCATTGACAAACAAATATGCAGAAGAAGGCGGAGATGGTTTAGATTGGACTGGACATACACTTAGAAGATGGTATGTGAACACCACATACAAGACAGTCGAGTGGAACCCCCATGGCAAACAACGAGTTGTGTGTCCGAAGCGAGGGTGACATGGAGGAGATGGTGTGAGGAAGAAATGAGAGCTTGTGGGCAGTGGCGGAGCCAGGTTAAGCAAACTGCAGAAAAGAGAGTGAAGTGAAATTTGCTACTGAAGCCCTACGCTCCACTAGGATCCCCAGGAACAAGTAAAAGTAAATATTTATCACGCATGTTTAACTGGAATCAGTGAAATACTGACTGCGATGGTCATCTTGCTAACGAGCATTAGAGTCCAAAACACAAGTTTCGATCTATTTTTGACTCGTCAGTTGGGTTTACGTGATTGAAAGTTTTCCGCCTGACACCTGAACATAACATTTATCGCTTCAAACTTCAAAGCGTCGTCTACGAGGTCACTGAGTCACAATAGCCGCTTACTATGCAACGGCTTTGCCTTTCGAGGCGATGGTCACTGAGTTCTAGTCATAGTGGGAAAAACATTAACCCACTGCGTTGGAGGTATATCTGGCTAATGAATCGCAAAAACGACAAAATGCACCTCCTGCATTCCACTGGTTATAACCAAGATGAATATTGAAATCAGCATTTCACTAATTACAATTATCATTTTCACCATCAGAGATAGCTGTGATTTGGCAGACAAGTATTTATACTGCTTGATGATTGGAGATGAAATGAAAATTTGGACAATGGCCAGATTCCAACCAACTATCACCAGATTTCACCTACTCCACTCCACCCAATTACAAAAATCGAACAACGGAAGGATATATAAGTTTAGATTTCAGCAGTTCTACAGTCACTTTTACCATACTTACTGCAAAACTGATTAAATACTTGTGAATCGCCATACTGGAGTCCATTACTTCACGAAATAAGAATCAAAACTGAAAGTTCCTTCAAACCGACTGGCATATATATATATATACATATTTACTTTAAAGTACTGCACGATTTCCGATGATTTTCTCTTACATGTTGGCTCGTGCTGAGAAGTGTAGTCACGGCTTCCAGAAGTTTGCAGTGTCCCACTGCTACGATTAGTTTGTGGCTTAACAACCAGATGACATCAAATGTCTAAATACCAACCTCTATCATTTTCAGCTGGTTTATTAGATATATCACACAATGAAGCAGTATTTTGATAATTCAGAAAAAGACTGATTCAACGAAGAAATATATTCCTTTCCAATTACGTCCTCATATTGGGCTTTATTTACACTAATATATGGTTTTACAACTTGATCAAATTATCAATCGTGTGGTGATGTTTTGGAGGCAGTTCCATCGTCTAATTTCTGAGTACCACCCATGATGGTTGAGCAAGGGACAAATGAGAATAATAAAGAGGTGCAAACTTGCACATCTGGTTGACACAGGACATCAAGTGGATACTAGTGAGGCTTTCAAAATCATCCATCAGATTCCAATTAATTTACGCCATGGATCACACACTCGCTCATTTCACATAGCAGAGGTGTTTACAATCCATCTAGCCTTTGTATTCCGAAGAAATTTGTTCGACCACTTTCATAACCATGGCCGTCAACATGATGTAACTTCTACGTTTACTTTGTACACCTTATCCCCTTCTTATTTCTATCAATATTCATTTGTTTTCTCATAATTACGTAATTTCTTATTGTGAATGGCTGAACACTCATCAAAAATTACTCCATTTACCTAAGAATAACCTGCTTCATATTTCCAATTTCAGTAACTCTGTTGATTATTTGTATCATTATTTCCGAAACATCACCATGTGATTGAAAAATTTGATTAAATTGTAAAACTATATATTAGTGTAGAGGCTAATCTGAAGACCTAATTGAAAAGGAATATATTTCTTCACTCCGTCAGTCTTTTTCTGAATGTCTAAATGGGGATATTCAATTTATTTTGATAATTTTCTTTGTTTCTACCCTATAAACAGTTATGTTTCAGTAACATATATAAATATATGTTCATCTAAGATGAAATTTAAATCCCCTATAGTGTTTGCTTTTCACTATTCTATCAGTCCGTACCAGAATTCCAGTAAGGTGACCAATGTCAAACAAATTCTTCAATGCAGCCTCGCAAAAAAAACTGAACACAAATTCATTTTGATTTCTTTGTCTTAAGATTGATGGCATTACTAGATTCAATTTAATGCCCACTTCGCTCAGTATCCTCGCAGAACTTATAATGACTACCACTGTTACCCTATCGGTCAGTTATTTAACTTCTACTTTGACATTCAAGTAATCATTCCAGACGCCCTTATCGAAATCGAATCAAAATTTACTCAGTAACCTTGTGCCCAAATGTACAGTAAGCAATGAGCCACACTTATTGGTTGGAGGCTAATGATACTATTACTGTCGAACTTCCGTAACTGTGATGGTTTCCGAAGTCGTAACCCATTGGTTGAAAGTCAACTGCCTAAATCAGTGAGCTACAACTTTACGAACCATCTTAACAACCAACATAATCAAACCCAGACAGTTTTGTCTCATGTTCACTAGAACTTTCGAGGTTTATTTGAGTGAAACCTCAACAAAAGACTTCTTGGCCTTTGAATTTTTGCAAACTGATCACATTCAGATTTAATAAATAATGATGAATAGAGGTGTAATCATAGGATAATTACCTTAATCTTTCTTTTTCTTGTTCCATTTCTCTATGCATTCTATTTAACTTCTCTAATCTTTCTTGAAGTTCGTCTATCCTTTGCATCTGTTCATTCGTAGAACTGTTCATTCTTGATTCGAATTCTTTCTGGATAACTTCAGATCTCCTTGTTTGTTCTAATTTAATTTGTTTTATTTTGTCTTCAAATCCCTGAATACAAGGTAACAATTGAGGTGTTTGTACGAAACTACTTAAATTGTAATCAGTAGTTAAAAGAATATTGCTTGTTTTGTTAGCGACCTGACCAAAATGCATTGAAATCTTGAAAAATGTTTTGTACAAACTTTAATTTCGATTAGAAGAAAAAGCCAAAATCCATTCCATTTAGGAACGCCATATTTAACTATTATTCATGCTACCAATTAAAGGTAGCCAAAGTTGCATACTCTTTTCAACTTACTATATGATCTGGTCTCCGAAATCGACTTCAATGAAAATGTATAATTTACTTTCTATGCTAAGTATTACCTAAAAGTTTAACACTCCTTTTCATAGGAATCCACACGAATTCTGTCACCTAGACCTCAGAGGTTTATTGTCCTAACTCAAGTTTACAATAAGTTGTTAATGCACTGCCCTCAGAAACCAACTAGAATACTAGAAAAGGAGTTATTTCAACACAGAATTCCAAATGAATCTGTAATTCATATTGTCGTACGTTAATCTAGGCATATATTTTTTCTCTTGACATTATACTTGTTAATAGCGAAGAAATAAGGTTTACCATTGCTTCTCAGACATTAGGACATTCACCTTTGTCTGGTGACAATAGTTTTCTAACCATTACCCAACATTGCTTCGTGTGGTGTTTAGTGTTCATTAACTCACTTTGAACATCGGAGCAAAACGGTCAGTAGTATTGTGTAAAATGGCAACAACATTATTTCATAGACATTTTTTGAACCTTTAGCGTTCATGCTGTTGCCACTGTGATCAACTGTACAGATAAATGCTAGATTCGAGATTCAAAATTTGTCTTCTAGTGCTATTCTGGACCAAGACATTGATTCCTAGTATTCTGAAACTCCTTATTCAATGCATCCACAGTGCAGTATCATGACTCCACTGGCAAGGTCTTAATTATCTTATACACACCAATCATATTCCCTTGGCATTATAGTCGGATACTGGACTAGTGAATTGAAGTTATGCAGCATAAACTGAAACGAACAAGACTGGGCACTTTTGTCTATTGAAGAAATACTTTGGTGCAAATAGTTCAACACATCATGCATACATTTGCCGATACATTTTGCTGTAGGCTCACTAAGGAGTGACTTCAATAATTTGTTGGCAAATTAAAGAGGAATGAGGGGCAATTTTATGAAAATAAGAGGGTTTTACAACCAAAACTAAAATAAAACGGTGTTTTTAGTACTTTAGGCTAGTATTACGAAGTTGGCTAAAAAGAGTAGCTTCAATCAAATAAGGCGGGAACATCTTCAGGCTTAGATGATGTGTCTTCTATCATTCACCTGTTTGTTGACAGTTTATTCTTATGCAAATAATATGTGACCACAACAGCTTACTGAACACCTTTGTGCCACTGAATATCATGATTTAAAATGTTTTTCTAAATCACATTCCCAGACATATAGGCTGAAAACCTAGTATAGACGTTATGTGAACCCACTGCTTGTAGTTGAACAAGACAAAAAGAACAGAGAAAAAATGAACCCACATCTTTTAACTCTGACAATTCACTTTTATGATTTTCTTCTGCGTTTTTTAACTTCTCTTTTATTTCATCTCTTTCATTTTTGGTTTCACCCAGTTCCGTTGTCCACCGACTTCTTTCTGCTGTCAGCTGATTAAGACGACACATTGTGACTTCTAATTCCTATAAAAAAGAAAAATAGATTAACAGAAAACTGGTGTAACAATACAATGAATCAAATAGTATTCATTGATTTCAATAGGACTCATCAGCGTTTTACTCTACATACATGATTTATATACTGTTATGTAATGGAGAAGTACTAACACACATTAAACAGACTAAGACATTGAATGAGAAATGACAACAGAATAATAATGTCATCTCGACGATCTAAGATAACCGTGGTTTGGCAGAAAAGTACTGATACTTAGTGGAGATTTAAGGTGAAATGAAAATTTGGACCGCGGTCGGATTACAACAGCCACCATCATCCTTCCCACCGCATGCTCTACCGTGCCATTCTAGCATCCATTTGATGTCCTGTGTCAACCAGATGTGCAAGTTTGCACCTCTTTATTATTCTCATTTGTCCCTTGCTCAACCATCATGGGTGGTACTCAGAAATTAGACGATGGAACTGCCTCCAAAACATCACCACACGATTGATAATTTGATCAAGTTGTAAAACCATATATTAGTGTAAATAAAGCCCAATATGAGGACGTAATTGGAAAGGAATATATTTCTTCGTTGAATCAGTCTTTTTCTGAATTATCAAAATACTGCTTCATTGTGTGATATATCTAATAAACCAGCTGAAAATGATAGAGGTTGGTATTTAGACATTTGATGTCATCTGGTTGTTAAGCCACAAACTAATCGTAGCAGTGGGACACTGCAAACTTCTGGAAGCCGTGACTACACTTCTCAGCACGAGCCAACATGTAAGAGAAAATCATCGGAAATCGTGCAGTACTTTAAAGTAAATATGTATATATATATATATATGCCAGTCGGTTTGAAGGAACTTTCAGTTTTGATTCTTATTTCGTGAAGTAATGGACTCCAGTATGGCGATTCACAAGTATTTAATCAGTTTTGCAGTAAGTATGGTAAAAGTGACTGTAGAACTGCTGAAATCTAAACTTATATATCCTTCCGTTGTTCGATTTTTGTAATTGGATATTGGTTGAACAATTAATTCCATAAAATAATGCTGATCTATATTCCGGTGACCTTAGATAAATCTCAGTGTACATTTCATATGATTTCTTATCAGGGATATTTAATTGGAATGATAGTGGGTGATGAATGAAGGTGAGATGAAAATTGGGACTGCGGTCGGATTACAAACAGCCACCACCACGCTTTCCACCCCTTGCTCCATCAACTGATTTTCGAGACCAAGACTGATGACCACACTTTTATTTCACTTCAATCACCCAGTGTCTTGCTCGACTACTATGTGAATTCGTGATGCGTTACCACCACTTGATCGTACTCACACTGGCTGCCCAATCAACACTCCTCATCCGAATCCACGAGATGTGAGTGAATTATAGAGTGGGAGCATCATATTGATCATCATTTTGACGATGTGAGATATGCGTGTTTTGGGAGATTGGTGGTTGAAATGAAATAAAAATGTGTTTAGTAGTGATTCCTCATAGTTCATGTGGGAGAGGAGATTTGTGTGCGTGGTGGGGGGGGGGGGGGGTTGGGGGTGGGTGGAGTGGAGTAGGTGAAATCTGGTGATAGTTGGTTGGAATCTGGCCATTGTCCAAATTTTCATTTCATTTTCAATCATTACTCAGTAACGCTATTAATAAGCATATTTTAACTCAATCGAATAGAACTATGAGTTGGCTGTTTGTGAGTAACAAATTGACAGTGAGGGATAAGAGGACTAGGGATGGATTACATCATTTTATACACAAAAGTTATTGATCAACTGGATAGGTTGATATCATTTCTCAACTAGGGAACCATATTTGTTAGATTAACAAGGTTCGAGAGAAAACGGGGGTGCAACAGAACAGGCATAACTAAGAGTTAAGTACCCTAAGCAAAGAAAGAAATAAAATGAAGAAAACTTCAGTAAAAATAAGTTCACAATACACCGAAACGTCTACCATAGTAGATTTAGGATGAAAACCTCCTCTTCCTGCACTCTTAGGCTCGGTTTACAAAACCCAACCACATATGCTTCCAAGACTGCTAGTATTTTCTTATTCCGTTATCTCCTAAAAACCAAGAAGAACTTTACAACATCATTGTCGTGTCGGTAATCCATTAAATGCCTTGTAATAAACCTTCGTTCTCTGTGGGATTTTGCTTCAGCTTGCCTTGACCGTTTAGGTAAATGTTCAGTCATGCAAGTAGATAGACGCTTTTTCGCACGACCTTCATAGTTGCGTCCAAAAATACATTCTAGTTGGTAAATGCGGTTCAGTGTGTTGAGAATTGGAGTCATATATTTTCTTGATCATTTCATTACCTATCTGGTAGCTTTCAGAAGTACTAGCTTTTCTGAATCTTAGAATCTATTACCCATCGTACAACGAATGGCTGTCGTGTGTCAGTGCCACAGTAAGTAACGCCCTGGTATTTGAAGTGATTAGTCTGGGGTTCAAGTCCTAGCGGGAACAGCATCACTCACTGAGAGGCAGTTGATTAGTGTCAAGTAGGACGAAACCCATGTCGTAGATCCTACTTCTGGCTGCTACCCATCATTAACATGTAACTAGTAGGTCTAAATTTTTCGTAAGTTGTTGTTTGTCTTATTATATTGGTTTAAGTCCTTAAAAATGTCCCCATATCCATGATTTGTTCAAAGTACCTCATACTTAAGTTATGTGGTGTATTTTCTATTTCTTCATGCTTCAAAATATCCAAGCTTTGAGTTAATGAGAAACCCTTTTCAGTTTTATGAAATTACAATGGGTTTCCGTTAACCGCAAAGAAGAGTTTAAATCTTGCTAAACGACTTCTTATCTAATCTTTTTATATCAAGTACTCTATGTAGAAGTGCTTCTTTCAACGAGTTACCTTTACGGTTGGCAATATATTCAAAACAAACCAGTCGCTTAAAGGTGCACTGACCTTCAATCATCTAAACTAATAACAGGCATAAGATAGGAGTTAGTTTCAATGTTTGAAGAAACTATTCCCCCATTACATTTTTATGGAAAACACGTAGATCCAAAGTATTTCATGGTATACTGAATGTTTCATCCATTAACATATGGTTGATATTTTAATAAATCAGTGAAAAGTTTTAACGCAAAATCTTTAGGTTTTATAAGTTGTTTAAAAACATTATTGATCACTTAACTAAGTGGTGTAGGGATCTTGGAGCTAAAAAAATTATGAAGATGAAAGTAAACCATCTTTACATACAAAGTGGTCATAGTCACAGACTATTCAATCAACTTCATTAAGAAATACCTGTCAGCAGAACAAAAGTTAAAACAGTTACCTTAACACACAAAACGAATCATTTTGCCAGATATCGAAATAGCTCTGAAACTGCTAACCGATAACTTTATTCATTCAGTATCAGCTTGACACACAAAACAACTAAATCCCTGCAGAATACGTTATGCAAACTGAAGAATACTATATCAATAGAAGACGAGATGAATATAGTTTAGTAAGTTAGTTGTAAAAACTGTTAATGTCATTATATGAGCCAACCAAGTCACTGAATGTCCAAAATAACTAATGAGTATCAACTAATGGTCAAATAACCTGATATATTATCTTTGATACTGAAGTGTATAGGTAGGTAAGACGACAACTTTGTTCGAGAAAAAGTAGAAGTAGCAGAATATTCAAGCCCAAAAACTTCACGGAAATCAATGAAAGCATAAAATTCCAATGAAAAGGCAATCGATACACGCCAATGATTGAAAATGAAATGAAAATCTGGACTGCTACAAGATTTGAACCAGTGGTTCGAACCCAGCCAAACCACAGATATCTCAAAAGATACTGCTACTGAACAACTTGAGTAGTTAGAAAACAATCATGAGCTTTCTGAATTATTTCTCAATCAATTCACATAGTCTCATGATGAAACTTTCAAAAGTAAACACAAAAACAAAGATAACACTAAACAGTTATCATCCTCACACCGGTCCACAAATATTTTCTTCTATCGCAGATGTGATTTCTCAACTCATAACATCAACTGATTTCTCCACATTGACCTAACAATAACAGAATACATCCAGTGCTTGGTTATACTTGTTCTTCATCTATTCCACTCATCACATAATTACACTCACTGTACATTGTTATTTACTGACCATTCAGAAGCACAAACTATATTCACTTATCAACAGTAAACTGCTGAACATTAGCAAACAACGTCCAAATCAGTCTGTTGGGTAAATCGGATCATAATGTTTGGATGTAAGCAGCTGTAATGTGCTGACCATAAGTTGCATGATATGAAGATATCAGACTTCGGAGTAAGGGTTAGTGTTCAAACAGCTAAAATGCTTACTACAGAGCCAATGGTATCCCTTAAAATAGAGATTTTTCTAATACTTTATTAGTGAAGAGTGACATAAGAGAATAAATAGATTGGAATTGTAAATATTTCTGATTTAATTGGTCATTACATGAAAAGCCCTAGTTTATGTAGAGTCATTTAGAAAGGGTGAAATGAGGCCATGAGTAAATGGTGACTGCAGCTCATTTCCTACAAGTTGATACTTTATTTGCAAACAAACATGAGGAAGACATTTTATTCATTCATTCATATTTTCTTACCTCTTCAAGTGCAGTTATGATCTGTCTTAGACGTTGTTGTTCAGCAGCAAACTCCTGTTTCATTGTCATTAGGCGTTTTTCTGTAGTATAACGTGCACTGGCTTCCTCTTCATTAGCCCTTAATATCTCGTATAATTCATCTCGTTCATTAATAATTGCAGCGATCTACAAAGATTTTTTTTTAAAAGATAAGATAATAACAATGGACATTTTCAATGGTGTTTTCTTCAGATTCATACAATATATATTTCGCGGAATATTTCATCTGAAAATCTGACACAGTTCAAGTGATAGTCTAAATGTCCATCAACCACATTTTCCTCTTACTAAATATCACTAATTTAGTGAGGGATGCAAAGATTTAACACTAAAAGAAGTATTATTATTTCCCCCTGGGTTCCTAGTGGAACGTAAGGCTTCAGTAACATGCCACTACTGCACTCTCTTCTCTGCAGTCTTTCCGAACTGGTGCCACGACTGCCAACAACCTTTCATTTCCTCCTCACATGATCTCCTCCATCTCACCCTCTCCTCAGATGCCCAACTCGTCGTTTCCAAAGATGGCCCCACTCCATGGTCTGGCCTGGTGCGTGATGTCCCCAGTCCATCTCCTCAGTGTATACCCAGTCCAATCCATCTCCACTTCCTTTCAGTGCATATTTGTTGGATGATAGGTTCTTAGTTGGTTCGTTCCCAGATATCCTTCTTGCTCATTCTTCTTACTTTGGCCATCTGATCTTCAGTATCGAGTGAGTGTAGGTGGCAGCTGTTAATGATGAATATCTGTAGTTTATTGGAAATGCTTTTCGTAATGCGCCAAGTCTCTCAACCATTACATAGAAGCACTGTCTTACTTGACTGAATTGGTGTTGAAAATCTGGATGTTGTTCACGCTTTGTGCTGAGTGGAGTGGAGTGAAGTGCAGCAGATCTCCACATTGATTTCAGATTAACTAACGTCTGTCTTGCTTTTCCGATCCTGGTTTTGATATCCTCATCTGCGCTACCGCCACCTGTATTTGAAACGACGCTGCCTAGGTAGGTGAGTAGATAAAAGAGGCTACTTCCTTTAGGTTTCTCCCGTTAATGGTGATTGGTGCCTCTTATTGTTCATGTTGTTTTGGTTGGGTATCTTCATCACTTGTCTTTTCTATGTTCACTTTAAGTTCCGTCTTCGCTGCCTGGCCTCTTCTGCTAACGTGTTAATTTTCACCAATAAATCCTCGAGTTTGTGCGACAAGACATTAGACGTAAATCATCGTTGGCGAAATCCAAATTTTCTAGGGTCTTTCCATCAGTCAAACAGCGTATGCCCATCTTCTCACTCATCACAGTTTGTTTCATGATCTAGTTCAGTCGACCACAATCAGGAAGGTTATGGGTGATAGTAGACAGCCTTGTTTTACTCCTTCCCGTCTACACTTCAAAAGCATCACAGAGCTTCCCATTGTGAATCACTTGGCATGTGGCATTTTCATATAGCTGTTGAATGAGTTTGATAAAGGTTTGTGACACTCCATAGTGTCGAAGCAACTGCCAAAATTACTTCTCGGTCGACGCTGTCTAAGGCCTTTTCAAAGTAGATGAAGTTGAGGTAGAGGGTTGACTGCCATTCTATATTCTGTTCTATGATGATGCGTAGCGTAGCGTTGCAATTTGACGCATACACGACTTGTACTTCCTGAAGCCAGCCTGTTCCGGTCGTAGTTTTGAATCCAGCGCATCCTTTAGTCTCTCCAGGATGATGCGGCTTAATATTTTGCTTGGGGTGAACATGGAGGAGGCATGATTCCTCTCCAGTTCTTGCAAAGACTTAGGTCTTCCTTCTTTGGGAGTTTGACAAGATAGTCCTTCTTCCAGTCAACCGGCAGATACCTTTCCTTCCTTCCAAACCTTCCGCAGTAGTGATGTGAGCACGTCCGGTGTTGTCTCTGTGTCTGTTTCCAGTGTTTCTAGAGGAATTCCATCTGGTCCTGATGCTTTCCCCGATTTCAGCAGTTTTATGGCACTCAGGACTTCTGCTTTTGTTGGAGGGCTTGCGTCCACTGGTAGTTCTGCCATTACTGGTGGTACTGCTGGACGAATTACAGGTGGTGGTGGTGGTCGATTCACGAGTTTTTTGAAGACTAAAAGAAGTGCATCTTTGTTATTTCGAAATTAAAAAATTGAGTGCATTACCATTTAATGTCTTTTTAAACATATGAGTTAATGTAAACATATATACATAACAAACATTTATGTCACACCTGACTGTCAACTTTGCTGACGAATTCACTGAATTCTCCACTCCGATTCGGGGTAACTTTTTGACTATAGTCTGTGGAGATTCTAATTTATACAACTGCAATGTCTTTGAATCACTGGGTCATGAAAGTATGGTTAACTTTTCTACTCGTCCTAAAAACACAAGAGATTTACTATTTACAAACGACTCTGGCATTTATGAAGCTGGTAAACGGGCTATGTTGCTGAATTCTGGTCATTGCATTGTACGTGTTTTGCCTAAAGTGATTGACAAATTACATAAAAAGGCTTTCGGATACTTTTCCAAGAAATTTCACTACAGAGAATACACTGCATTTGAAAAGTATGCTTAAAAAAATAGACTAGGATATATTTGCTGATGAAGTTTTAGAAAACACTATCACCAATATCACAAGTTATCTCAGATTCTGTCTTGATATTTCCTACACTGCTGAAACAATCTACATGAGATTTGACAGACTTTCCTCTTCTCATTTCAAAAGGCTCCAGAGAGAAAAGGAAAGGGTGTATAAAACTAAAGATCAACATGGTGTCAAAAGACCTAACTTCTGAGTTAAATCTGAAATACAACGTCTGACTACTATATACAACCAGAATTTTCTACTGTGTAAGAATTCTTCTAATATATAGAAATTATTTAAAAAGCTTACTGGTAGAAAACAGGTTAGCAAAAGAAGCTTGTTAGGATTTCTGCAAGTTAAATAAGTCATTCATACGTGGGCAAGCTGATTTCATCCTTTCTAATGTCCCCAGTCAAATGGATAACTGCTTTTTTGGTTTTATTACACAGGATGCATTTAAATGTCTTAACTCCTTGAATCCACTCCAAAGCTTAGGTCCCGATGGTGTTTCGAGTATTATATTTAAAAACTGTGCATGTATTTTATGTCATCTTCCAATAGATATCTTCAATGCATCGTCTGCCAAACTATAATTCATCTTCTGGACCAGATGTTAGGTTTCGATTCATCTCTATAACTCCCTCTTTTTTGAAGACAATGGACTCTTCTAAATATCAAACTGTTAATGTTAGCCTCACGTGTAAATAAGACTTGTGTGAGCTGCTTAAATCTCATAACTCCTGTTGCACTGATGGTATTTCTGCAGAAAATAAACAGTATTAATTATCTTGGACTCAGTTTTACTTCTGCTCTTTGTTTGTTGTCTCATAATTTGTTGGACTGTAAAAAAATCCTTCGTTTAACGTATTACATAAAGAAACTTAGGCTCTCTGGTATAACTCAACTTCTACTCCTGCAATTGATTAATTCCTGGATTTTGCATATTATTTTATATTGCTCCGTGTTAATCTTTCCTGGTCTATAGACTATATTATGTTTTGCAGGGCTCTGAAAGCCCCCAGTAGGGTCAGTACTGTGCCTCTGGATCAATTGATTAACATTGTAGTTGATAGACATTTACATTCTAGCAAACAACTAGCTACAGTAATTTTAACTGACACTGAACATCCACTTCATTCACAGCTCCCCTTTGTATCGCCTTAGGGAGAAGAATAGATCACATAAGACTGTACGTTCGTACAGTCGAGTACAAGAAATCGACTATACCGTACCTAGCACGCATATTATGTGAGGAAAAAGTGTCAGAACAGAACTGAAATTTCAACTTAGTAACAATTAACAGTCTCATTTCATTAATTTAATTAACAATGTACAATTTTCTCGTTGTATATATATATATATATATATATATATATATATATATATATATATTATTGGAGTATATCATGCTGAGAATTCTAAATTACATCACAAATTGTTTTGGAATAAAGTGATTATTACTATTATATTGATTACTTACTGAAAAGACACCAACTTCATGTTGTCCAGTCCTAAGTGTCGATTGGAGTCTAGTGATTATTTTTCAATGTGGCCGCGAAGCTAGGCGGCTCAGCATCGCGATGCATTTAGAGAGGTGTTAGTTGGATAGAAGTAATCGGCAGGAAGACCTGGACCTAGGTTTCTTGATTTTTCGCGCTCATTAACAAGCCGCATCTGTAACCTAGATGGAATTGATATTTTTGCCTGATTTTTGAACCCATGTGTCACAGCACTGCAACCAGAGACATCTCTCTCTGTGCATCACAATGGATAGTATCCTAGCCTGACGGCAACACTATAAAATGGTCGACAGAATTGGATGCGCACATAGGACTACACATTGTGAAATTGATTTCTTTTTATGACCAATTTAATGATATAATTCACTCCTACAGGAGGTCATTCGCGGCCTGGATAGCTCAGTGGTAATGTCACTAACTGCAGCATTTGGTGACATGGTTTTGAATCTCAGTGGGGACATAAGTTCCGTCAAAGTTGCAGATATGCCTTGCTGACAAATGCCAACAAGCAAGAAAACTGGGTTAAGCAGGGCTATCTGTCTCCATTCAACCAACAGGCCAATTATTCCTCTGTTTCATTGATGACAGTTCAAATAAATTTGTCATCACTCACTGTTAGCCCCTATCAACATAAATGCATTTAATCCACGTATACAAAACTTTCGTCAACGGATAATTGCACACTAAATCTTATTTAGAAGTCGTATTCATCTCGATAACAGTTTAACAGTCATAAACTGTGTATCATTCCGGTTTTCGGTGATATTTCTCATTGAGTACTGTACTAAGTGACAATTTTTTTTTCAACATTTGTCAAGTTAGGCGATGTTTAGTTTGGAGGAAAAAATATTTTCCCACTGGCAGTTGAGTTATTGCTTCATTCATTCACATTACACTTCAGATTTTCAGTTTCCAAATGATCTGTTTGGGTAAATATATAAATATTTTATTCCTCCATTTTCAGTATTTCTCAAATTATAAGATTTTCTGCAAATTCATTATACAGACCTAATGTTCTTTGTCTGAAGTGTAAGTGAATGGCGTTCACAATGAGATGAACTGGATATCTTAGAACATTTGTATTCAGTTAACAGCTTTATTCCTTTAAACATCAAAGGCTAATCATTATTGATAATGTTAATCAGGTGAAAGACGGTCTCTTTTCAATTTATTTATCCCATTCTCTATCCGGTTAAAAAGTAAAGAAGATAAATAGTCAACTTTCTTAAATTTGTGCACTGGCTAAACCTACTACTATTAATATTATTATCCCATTCGGTTAACTAAAAGTCTTCATTCTACTACTATATTACTGGTGAGTAGTGGCTAGCAGTGGAATCAAGGATGTCCCTTTCGTCCTATTTGGGACTCGTCAGCCGGATGTGTCTGCCACCCAGTTGGGGATGTTGTTCCCACTGGGACTGGAACTCAAGACAGATCGCTCGAAACACCAAAGCGTTATCCGCCTAACCACAGAGTCATGATAGCCACTTCTTGTGCGACAAGTATAGTTTTATATTTTTTTGCCTGTACTATCCAGTTGTTGGGTGAACCGAAATGATTCATCATTAATATATAATTGAAACACAGATAATATCGAGGTACCTGCGCAGGGGCCTATATGTCAACAGGGACCGATCAAATGGATCCACTCAACGATTGGATAATATAAGCAACAACACTACTACATTTATGCAAAAGGTGAAGAGGTATTCATGAGTATGAAATCTACACTTCGTTGTGATAACAGAATACTAGTAGAACGAGTATTTCTGTTTTTTCTTTTCATAAATTAATTATCCTGGCATTTTATTTTTCTAAGCCTGCGAAATGCCTATGTGCATGATGAACAAGCATTTCATCAGCTGACATAATTTCCAGTGGAAATGCATTCCTGTTCAGTAACTAGTAGAGAAATGAAAATGTTCCCATTATTTTTAAAATGCAACTCTAGAAATATCAACCCCAAGTCGAAAGTGAGATTGTCTAGACTTTGAGAAGTAACACAATGATTCATAACTTCTTAATCCTTATTTTGATGATCAACTCTACTGAGTATGACAACTTGTAAATTAACTAGGCGCTTAATTGACTAACTATAATTGGGTACCACAGCTAGACTAGGTTATATGTAGATTAATTTCTAAGACGTTTGAACATCCCAAGTTATAAACACATATGATGGTTGTTTGTAATTGCTAAATAATGTAGCTGAATTTTTAAAAAATATATTCAGTATTGTATTACTCCAATGTCTTATCTATGAACAATGATTTATCAAAAATTTCATTTTATCACCTTCAATAGTCGCTGTTACATTTTGTCATCTAATATTATAACTTACTTCATCTTTAGTAAGAGTAATCCCTGATATTTGTATAGATTCTGTATATTGAGAAGTTTCTGTTTCAAAATTTTCACATTTTCTTCTCAATGAAATTGACTGTGATGTTATACTTCGGTCAAGATACTGTTCATTTTGTTTGATATCATTTGGTAGTTTATTGCGATATGGTGGATAATAGTGATTAGTTATCATTTGCATCTTTCTACTAATGATGTCGTCAGTAGTATTTGTAGTGGTAAACATATTTGTTGAGTTGTTATTGGAAATTGGAAAATGTTTAGAATCACAATCAATCTTATCCAATGCTTTTTCATTGCTAAAGTATTGAAAATGCAAAAAGGTGATAAGAAATTATTTTGTAATAAACCAAATTTTCACATGTTTGAATTTATGCAATGAAAAACTGACTTTCTCTGTTGACAGCGAAACAAACAACACCAAAAGTTTCTAGGTGTGCAGTAATAGCTGAAACCTGTTGACCAACTACAAAACAATTGAACCATTTAAGAGTGAACAAAATCAGCTGACAAGAAATTATAGATGTATACTGCATACATTTTAACAATGATAATTATATTTTGTTAACAAAATGACTGAAACGCATGTTTCCCGCTTAGAATCGGACACATATTGTACATGACAAAGCAATAATGGGTGGGGTTACTGAATTGCATAAAGCCAGCTTAAATCTTCAGTGATACAAAGACTTTCGTAGTACTACTGGTACTAGTGGTGGTACTAATTTTATTATTATCATTATTATTATTATTTGTCCCTTGGTTTCCTACTGGAACATAGGGCTTCAGTAGCACATAGCCATTTCACTCTCTTTTCTGCAGCCTGCTCAACCTCGCCCCACCACTGACCATTACCTTTCATTTCCTCCTCACATGATCTCCTCCATCTCACCCTCTCCTCAGATGCCCAACTCGTCGTTTCCAAAGATGGTCTCACTCCATGGTCTGGCCTGGTGCGTGATGTCCCCAGTCCATCTCCTCAGTGTATACCCAGTCCAATCCATCTCCACTTCCTTTCAGTGCATATTTGTTGGATGATAGGTTCTTAGTTGGTTCGTTCCCAGATATCCTTCTTGCTCATTCTTCTTACTTTGGCCATCTGATCTTCAGTATCGAGTGAGTGTAGGTGGCAGCTGTTAATGATGAATATCTGTAGTTTATTGGAAATGCTTTTCGTAATGCGCCAAGTCTCTCAACCATTACATAGAAGCACTGTCTTACTTGACTGAATTGGTGTTGAAAATCTGGATGTTGTTCACGCTTTGTGCTGAGTGGAGTGGAGTGAAGTGCAGCAGATCTCCACATTGATTTCAGATTAACTAACGTCTGTCTTGCTTTTCCGATCCTGGTTTTGACATCCTCGTCTGTGCCGTCTGTGGTTGAAATGATGACGTCTAGGTAAGTAGATGAAGGACATTATTTCCTTTAGATTTCTCCAGCTGATGGTGATTGTGCTTGCTGCTGTTGATGTTGCTGTTGTTGTTGGTTGAGTATCTTCATCACTTCTGTCTTCTCTACGTTCACATGAAGGAAGTCCAGTCTTACTTAGCAGCCTCACCTTTCCTGTCAACTTGTTAGTTTCGCTTGTAGATCTTCGAGTTTGTGTAACAAGACATTAGACATAAGTCATCATCGTTAGCGAAATCCAAATCTTTTTCTGGGGTCTTTTCATCGGTCCAGCCAGCGTATGCATACTTCTCGCTGCTTACAGACTCTTGCATCACCTAGTCGAGCCGAGTCGAGTCGACCACAATCAGGAAGGTCATCGGTGATAATAGTAGGTGACAACCTTGTCTTACTCTTGTCCCTTGTTTTCACTTCAAAGGCATCACTGAGCTGAGCTTTCCACTGTGAATTACTTGGCATGTAGCGTTGTGGTGCTACTACTGATAAACGTAAACTAAAACTTATTTTTAAGGTGTTTAGATGACTGCTTAGTGACTACTGAACCTCTGGAAGACAATCCTTAACTACAGACTAGACATTCTGAGTCTGATGGCAGCTGATAGTCACGGTCATCAAGCCTTCTGTATAGGACTAAAAAGAATAGTGACTGTAATGGGTCTCCGATCCCGTATTCCTCTATATAATTCAATCTGAATATTGGCTGCGTTTAATTCAAGTGGTTTTAAGTTAAAAATTTTGTTTATAAATGCATTTCATAGAAGTGGGAATATATATTTATTCGATATTTAACAGTGAAGATTAACTATTAGGCATGGTTTTACCCTACAGGCTTTTCTAAATGTTAACATGCTGTTTTTTCAAAATTATCATTTTATATATAGACGACCTATGGGATAAGTTCTACCTTTATCATAATTCAATAAGACTTACTTGCATATTTTCAACAACTTTTCTGACAAGCTCGAATTCTGCAATGCAACCTTACAGAAATAAAGTTTTAGTTGGGAGTTTTATATTTATGATATTGATCATCTTCCAAGGCACCTTTTAGCATCAATGTCGTGGCATTAAAGTGAAAGTTGAGACAGGAAAAAGTATATTATTTCGGGTTAGAATACATTTTTAGTAATAATTCACCTTCTAAAAATGTTTCCCAACCATCTAAACTTTTATAAGGTCCCGTTAGCTACCAAGGGAAAAGAGTGCTAGGTACTACAATAACAGTATTCTTATTTAGATAACCCTTTTGACTATCTGAGATATCCGTGGTTTGGTAGGGTAGTATTGATACTGAGTGGCGACTGAAGGTGAAATGGAAATTTGGGCCACGGAAGGCTTAGAACCAGCAACCATTGGGTTTCCGGACCGCTTCTCTGTCAACTGAGCTGAGAGACCCAACTGCTGAACACATTTTTATTTCACCTCAATCATCAAGGGTTTTGACTGACTACTATGTGAATTCGGGACACGTTACTACCTCTTGATCATACTCACACTGTCTGCCCAGCTAAGCTGTCCAATCAGATACTCAAAATGATAATCAATATGATTTTCATCCCTCTCTAACTCAGTTACATTTGGACTGGGATGAGAAGTGTTGACTGGACAGACAGTGTGAGTAGGATCAAGGGGTAGTAACGTTTCCTGAATTCACACGGTAATCGGGCAAAAACCTTTGATGACTGAGGCGAAATAAAAATGTGTTCAGCAGTTGGGTCTCTTAGCTCAGTTGAAAGAGCAGTGAGCCAGAAACCCAATAGTCGCTGGTTCGAATCCCACCGCGGTCCAAATTTTCATTCACCTTCAATCAGTATTTAAACAAAGCAAGAAGGATGAGATTTGTGGCATAAAATGATATAGTTTTATTTCACGAATACTCTTCAGCTGCTGGATACAGTCTAGATGGTTGTTAGGATATAAGATATTTCAGAATTAGAAAATCATTAATCTCAAGTTGTACAACACAATCATTGACAAAGCATATAATATGTAAACAAATTAATCTGATAGAGGTAAGAAAGGTAACTAAAGGAAATAAACAAATAGTTGTGTAATTAAAATGAGGATGAAACAGAGTCAAATGATATTCACCAAGGGAATGAGAGATTGACAACCTTCTCGTTCTGTATACAAAAGTTATTGTTGAAAGCGTTTTATTGTAATCACTTTCGCGAAAAGCAGTAATTCAAACATTTTATCTACGTTAATTATTCTAAAAGAACTCAAGTTTTAAACCTGATTCCCTATGTCTACGAGGTATCTGTCAATTTCAGCAGTAAGAGTTATACTTTCTTTCAAGCATAGTTTCTTAAGAATATGCTCCGCTATGTGAATCGACGCTCTCCTCTAAGTTCTTCCAATTTACTTGCTACCACAAGTGCATATAAATTCATAAATACACTTGAAGGTGATATAAGCAGCGTAGTATCCAATTTTGACTGGTTTAGCGGGCACATAGTGTTGTATTCTTATACAAGTTTAGCTGCAGGAAACCTCCTTCTTAAAACTGCTTCGATTCCTACGTCTATTCGCTTCAATACTACATCTCCCTTGATTGTAAGGTGTATAATTAACGTAGAGAAAATGCCTGGATCATTGCATTTCATAGAAGTGACTGCAGTAAAACGCTTTGTATACAGAACCATAGGGTTATCAATCTCTTACTCCCTTAACAAATATGAATTGATCCTGTATCATTAGCATTCTAATGACATAACTATTCACTTATTTACTTTTAATTACTTACAATTCTTACCTCTTCACAATTAATGCCCTTACAGGTTACTTGGATTATCAATGGTTTTGTGACACAGCTTGAAATTGTTGATTTGGTAGTTTTAAAATACCCTACGTCCTAATAACCATTACACTTTTAGAGTATATGCAGCTGAGGAGTATACATGAAATAAAATGGCATCATTTTATCCTGAAGATTTCTTGCTTATTTATTGCATCATCGAAACATATCAGGTGATCTAAATGCATGAAAGTAATCTTATTTCTCTTTAGATTTATTGAATATGATCTATAGATCTATGGACCAAATTGATACTCTACGCATTATCATACAACAGAGCATAACATGGCAGTGAAATCTTCACTTCAACTTCATCGACTTGAAAAAGCCTTCAACAGCATCGACCGACAAGTAATCCGACACGCAATTGCTTCAACACTAAGGAATACTACAAACCTTTATCAATCTCATTCAACAACTACATCAACACGCCACATGCCAAGCAATTCACAACACAATCGAAAGCTCAGTGATGCCTTTGAAGTGAAGACAGGGGACAGCAGTAAGACAAGGCTGCCACCTAATATCTATCAACGAAGATCTTCCTCATTAGGGTCGACTGGACTGAATCGTGCAGCAGACAACAGTGAGGAGCAACAAGATGGGCATACGCTGTCTGGATCGATGAAAAGACCTCAGAAGAAGATTTGGATTTCACCTATGAATTGTGTCTAATGTCTTCTTACACAAACTTGAAGATATACAGGCAAAATCCAACAAGTTGACAGAAGAGGTGAGGCAGTGAAGACGGCACTTCAAGTGAATGTGGAGAAGACAGAGACAGAGATGATGAAGATACCCAACGAACACCAGCACCACCACCACCAACAACAACAACAACAAGAAGGAGCTGCAATCAACATCAATGGGAGAAACCTAAACGAAGTAGCCTCTTTCACTTACTCACATACCTGACTAGGCAGCATCCTTTCAACTACTGGTGGCGGCACAGACACAGGCACAAGCACAAGCACAGACGAGGACGAAGGTGAGGACGTGAAAGCCAACCACGATCGGAAACATAGCAAGACAGGCCTTCCTGAATTAACCTGAAACCAGTGTGGAGATCTTCTCCACTCAACTCCACTCCACTCCACTCAGCATAAAGCGTGAACAACATCCCGATTTTCAACAACAATTCAGTCAAATTAGTCAGTGCTTCTGTGTGATGGTTGAGAGACTTGACGCCTCACCAAAAGCATTTCCAACAAACTGCAGACATTGATCAACAGCTACCGACTACGCTCACTCAATACTGAAGATGGAGATCAGATGGATTGCCAGAATAATAAGAATAAGCAAGGAGTAAGTGTAGCTGGCTGGTTGGCTGGCTGGCTGGCTGGGATGGAGATGTGCTACTGAAGTCCTATGTTCCAAGGGACAAATTATAATAATAAATTGTTCAAACGTTTCAACTATGCGTAAACTTAAAGTTTGCCGAAATATGTTTATCAAAAGTAAATTAAAAGAATTTTTGTTGATTAAAGATATCTGGTTGTATAGTCTTACCAAATCGTTTTGTAAAGTACACCATCAATTTGTTTATTTTCATGAGATTTCTCCGAAACCTGTAACGCTTTCATCGAAGTTTTACATAACGAATGTGAATTATTAATGCTTATTCCATTGTAATCATTCAACTGATCATCTGGTTGTAAAATTTCTCTGTTCTATACAAAAAATAAAAACAGTTTTCTTTAATGCATTCCATCTAGTTCTGATAAATTCTAGAAAATAATTTATTCGCTTAAACAATGACTGTAATCAAAAGTGATGGTCCACATCCAAGTACAGTAGTCCAATACTGACATTGTTTTATAAAGGATTCACATTTTTCTAAGTGAACTGATCTATCTGTAAACTTTCATTCAAGTCGTTCCATGATTTATTGGTACCTTGTTTTACTTTTAAGCATCAAGTATTCCATTAACTAAAGCAAGTGAAATTCTTTCTTTGCTAAATAAAAACATCAGTTTTTCTCATGTAAAATACTTTCTTATCAGTGCAACAACTTATAATTTTATCTTTTCATTTATTTTCTTCATAGAAAATACATAACAGCATAGTGACAGAGGAATTCAATTAGTTAGTTTACATAAAACTTAATTCATATGATAAATAGTACAAGTAATCAAGTGCTGTATGACTGAGGATACATGAGGATACATGAACTGTAAATCCGTAAAGATGATTAGAAATGATGGAGACTACAGAAAAAGGGAAAACTGGTTGATTTTTAGCAGAGTTTGAGTTTCATTGGCTTTCACATCATGCGTTATTAGTGCATATCATCACAAGTTGCGAAAATAAAGAGTGAAATATGACTGACTGACAGAGTTAACAGTGGCTCAAGTTGTCATATTTCACAGAAGTATACGTAGAACAGGTGGACAGAAAAGGAGTAATATCAAAATAGTTAAAGTTGAGAGAGAATAAACAATCTGAAGATAAAAATTAGTGTGAAGCTTCAGAAAATGTCAAGGCGTGAATACTTCTGAGTTATTTTTGGCCGATTTTCAGCCATATCACCAAGAGTCTTCAGCCACTGATTCCTTTCTTCTGAGGGACCCCAACTAGGCAGTCTACATCTCCCTATATGGCTCAAGCCAATAGTCAGGGTCTTCATCAACTGGTGCAATGTGTTTGTGTGGCCACTCTGATTCCTCTTCCAACCTAATCATACTTCATGGCATTTCGAGGTAGGTGGTGGCTAGGTATGCGCAGTCCATGCCAGTGCAAGCCATCTTGGTCGACTAAGGTTCACAACCTCATCAATCTACTTGCCTGTCTTACCTAATATCCTTCACCTGACCTCAATGTTCCTCAGATAGTCATTCCACCGAACGCGAACAGTACGAAGACCCCCATGATCAAATACCTGTAATCATTTCATGTCTTTTACTTTCAAAGGCCATGTCTCATAGCCGTACAAAATAACAGAATGGATTGCAGCGGAGTATACTCGTCCTTTGATAGATAGTTGGATATCTTGCTAGCTGGTGCCACAGATGACCCAAGTTGGCAAATGCCAAACGGACCTTCTATATCCGAGTTTATATATTGTCATCAACCAGCCCCATTAGGGGGCTGATGCAACTCCTCAAGTAGGCGAAGTGGTCAACACATTCCACCACTTCACCCTCTATCATTAAACTGAAACATCATCTTACATTTGACAGGTGCTAGTGAAATCTATACCAAATATACTCAGATTTCTGCTCAAGGCGTTCAGAAGACCTCTCATTTTGTCAGCATCTTCACCCAGTAGGACAATGTCGTTTGCGTACTTCAGCTGAACTAGATGACCTCCAGGGAAGATGATGAGTAATCTTAAATTTTGAAACAATATTGAATACGTATCATATTACGGCGTAACCACCCACGGTTTTTAGAGACAAACAATGACCTCATCTATTGTTGTTACACAATATGTTAATTATTACAGTTTGTATTCTTTCATCTGACTAACCTGCTTTTAATGATATTCGCAAAGAAAGTGTTTAATGATAAAGCAAAAATATTTGTCTGTATATATCGTGGACAGGTAATATTACTGAATGTTTAGTGAAAGGAAACTTTGAGAAGTTATGTAGTCTATTGTGAAAGCTTTTCTTTGTAAAAGCAAGAATAATGAAGTCAATTTAAGCGTTATGCACAACCTATTCTTTGACATTTTGATATTCCTATAAAGGAAAAGGGAGTATAACTGAATGAAAAAGTGTGCAGCGTTTGATTACCAACGATACCTTAAGTGTAAGGGTAGATAGTATTCAAGTTTAACTACACAACAATTAGATGAAACGCATATGAACTGGTGTTTCAACGGCTGATAGGCAAGAATCTAGAATACTATTATACTTGTTTTGTTAAGCAACTTGAATAGAATGAAATTCTTAATTACTTCCTATTGCATTATTCTAAAGCTTCGCAGGGTAGTACGTTTTTACAGCTACTTAGAATTTTGATATCAAATCCAATTTTGCTTAAATGCTGATTGAATGAACTTCCTTCCTTCTGAATTGAAGTCACATCCTATAAAATCTAAAACTATTCAATAGATACAACAGGAGGAATCATGTATATTAAGTACTCATAAGTATGATTCTTCATCAAGGAAACAGAACATTTTGCAATTTCGATAAAAACTAAATAACTTCATCTATCAACATTTAGCATAGAAACTAAACCAATTCATATTTCTATTTGAAGGTTTGTGGAGATTTGTGGATTTATTTTAGATTGAAATTCATCATGGATTGACATCAGTTGGAAGAACATTGGAAACATGAGAACAGTGTACAGTTAATTCACCCTAGTATGTGACTCTTCAGCAGTGCGCATCCATAATCCCACATCACCAGGAGTCAAAGCCAGGACCTTTAGGTTCCACGATCAATACGTTACCATTTAGTCAGTTAGTCGGAATCCAATGGTTCATACTTCCCACTGCTGTCAGTTCACAATATAGTGCGACTTCCATCCAGTGACGTCGCTGAGTAACTGTCTTCATGTTCGGCTTGGTTGACTCATTGGTGACAAGCTTCGAGAAGTGATTTCAAAATTTCCAATGAGAAGTTGTGACCAGTAGAGTCAACCAAGTTGAGTATGAGGACAGTTTCCCAGCAACGTCATTGGATGGAGGTCATGCTATATTGTGGACTAACAGAAATGAGAAATATGGATCACTGGATTCCAATCCACTGGCTCAAAAGATGGGGACTGACAATAAACTTTTCTGTCTAATAGTTTTCATCATGATAAGGTAGAATGGTATTTTTTTAATCAGTTTCTATCTAGATCTTCACTTTATGATAGTAAAAATGTTCACTTGGAAAGGTAACTTACCTTGCTATTCATCAACACCATAGAAGATTTCATTTCGTAACAAGTTACAGGATTTATTTGGTTTTCATCATTCATATCCCTATTATTACATACAGAATCTTGTTGTACTTCTGAAGTAATATTTGTCATTGGATAGGCTAATTGATGAGGCAGATTGCTGTTGAACTGTGTCTCTGAATTCGGGATAGAATTTTTCTTTGTCACTGTACACCTAAAGTCAGATAGGTTACATCATTATCAACAGTAACAGAAATCCAGTATTCTTTGGGAGATATTATGTAATTCTCAACTTTGTTGATATCAATGAACATTTTGTGATAGAAAACAAAAGATGAAAAAGATTCAAGCAGATATCTTAAGTGACTTATGGATTTATCTTCAAAGTAATCTGTGTTTTTTAAGCGTCAGGTGCGAATCTCCTTGTTTAAAAAGCTTACGGAATTGCTTCCATTAGTGGGTATTCTTTTTCCGATGGCAATGAGAAGTAGATTTTTCTCTACTCAGAAGTTTATGACTTTCCTACAAACTTTTGACGATATTTGGCTTGATACAACTTAAAAATGAAGGTGATCACAAGCGTTTATATGTGTATACGGTGAACGTAAAAGTGAGATGAAGAAGACTGAAAAACAATCAACTTAAGCTGGAGAAAAACTGATAATCTAAACCTGTATTACTCTGAGGTCTGTATGATAAATGAAGCTTTCTCTACTACTCATGCTATTCAGCATGTTGATATATAAGCCTAATGTGGCGTGCTGGATACCAACAATGACGAATACATCAAAACTAGTTTAAAGTGCCGCTTAGTCACTGCCCACTTTACTGTCAGTACAAATTTTAAGCACTCATGAAAATCAAGAGACAATCAGTTGAATCTCTTTTAGCACAGAAAACAGTGTATGCCCTCAGGCATTTTTTTTCATGATAATATCTACTGATTTCACTTACGTTCATACACTAAGAAAAGAATTTTAGATTGAATTCACTACACTATAACGTAGAACATTGAAATTTTTTCTAGATAATCTAACAGATAATTCTTGCTTGTCAATGAATAATCTCTTTTTATCGAGAAAAATATTTTAAACGCTTAAACAAAAATTTCATAGCATTGGCTGGTAACTAAGACGAAGCTTATGTATTAGTCTAGTAATATAAGTCATAACAATATATCGATTAGTATGTGCCGTGACATAAAACTTTAGTTTGACGTATATTTGGATTCATTAGGCAAAAAGCATTGAATAACTTAGGTTACACATTCGTTAGCATTCATAAATAAGATAAATATTCAACTCTAGGTAAACTCATAAATTCTTGAAGATTTGAACAAGTGATACTCACCAACTTTGAAAAGGCCTTCAACAGCATCGACCGACAAGTAATCCGACACGCAATTGCTTCAACACTAAGGAATACTACAAACCTTTATCAATCTCATTCAACAACTACATCAACACGCCACATGCCAAGCAATTCACAACACAATCGAAAGCTCAGTGATGCCTTTGAAGTGAAGACAGGGGACAGCAGTAAGACAAGGCTGCCACCTAATATCTATCAACGAAGATCTTCCTCATTAGGGTCGACTGGACTGAATCGTGCAGCAGACAACAGTGAGGAGCAACAAGATGGGCATACGCTGTCTGGATCGATGAAAAGACCTCAGAAGAAGATTTGGATTTCACCTATGAATTGTGTCTAATGTCTTCTTACACAAACTTGAAGATATACAGGCAAAATCCAACAAGTTGACAGAAGAGGTGAGGCAGTGAAGACGGCACTTCAAGTGAATGTGGAGAAGACAGAGACAGAGATGATGAAGATACCCAACGAACACCAGCACCACCACCACCACCAACAACAACAACAAGAAGGAGCTGCAATCAACATCAATGGGAGAAACCTAAACGAAGTAGCCTCTTTCACTTACTCACATACCTGACTAGGCAGCATCCTTTCAACTACTGGTGGCGGCACAGACACAGGCACAAGCACAAGCACAGACGAGGACGAAGGTGAGGACGTGAAAGCCAACCACGATCGGAAACATAGCAAGACAGGCCTTCCTGAATTAACCTGAAACCAGTGTGGAGATCTTCTCCACTCAACTCCACTCAACTCCACTCAGCATAAAGCGTGAACAACATCCCGATTTTCAACAACAATTCAGTCAAATTAGTCAGTGCTTCTGTGTGATGGTTGAGAGACTTGACGCCTCGCCAAAAGCATTTCCAACAAACTGCAGACATTCATCAACAACTGCTGTCTACACTGGCTCGTTACTGAAGATCAGATGGATTGCCAGAATAATAAGAATAAGCAAGGAGTAAGTGTAGCTGGCTGGTTGGCTGGCTGGCTGGCAACGAACCAACGAAGCAAGAAGCTATCGCTCAACAAATATACACTGGAAGGAAGTGGAGATGGATTGGATTGGGTATACACTGAGAAGACTGACTGGGGACATCACATGCCAGATCAGGTTGTCGAGTGGAATTCAGATGGGAAATGATGAGTTGTGTGTTTGAGGTTGGAGTGACATGGAGGAGGTGGTGTGAGGAAGAAATGAGAGTTTGTGGGCAGTCGTGGAGTCAGGTTGAAAAGATTGTAGAGAAGAGAGTGGGATGGAGATGTGCTACTGAATCTCTATGTTCCACCGAGAACCTAAGGGACAAATAAATAATTACCAAAATAATAATACTACCTTAATCATAAGTGATTCCCTTTCGAACTTAACTGTGTACAAGAGGAGGTCACCGAAGCCGAAGTAAAACTGTTCAGGGTGCTGAACGTTATTTGAAATATTCGAAAATTGACCTTCCTCGAAGGTACTCATAAGCGGTGATGATTATTTCAAGGATTTTGCGAGAATAATATTGAAAACTACTCAGTCGATAACTGGTTTCTGACATCTAGTTCATACACCATTTCCTATATTTCTGCTTTATAAAGGATCCTTAAGTCCGACAACTGTCCATTTTTAGTATCATTTAAAGTAGAAAGTAACATTTATGAAAATGTTAGACAGGTCAATCAATCACTTGGCATCTGATTGACACTGAACATCAGACAGACCTCTTAAGTTCTTTCAAGATGATAAATGCAAAACATGTTCGATTCTTCAGAAGTCTGCTGAAACTATAGTCATCAATCGCCTTAAACCTGACTTGTGTGTTCAGACGTTAGTGGTGGTCAATTTTTGTCTATTATGGTAAGCTTTCTTGATCTCTTTCACTCTCATTCACTTGCATCCCCTTTTGGTACATCAAATCTGTTCACATAGACCGCTTTCAAATGATTGAGGTTAACTCAAAATATCTGGCATATTCCGTTCAGTAACTTATTCATCGTATGACTTATGTAATCCTATGATGCTAAGCTTTTCAATATGTTGACTACTTCGCATATCCTTATTTGAATTCTAGAGGCTCCAACTGAATTATATGTTTCCGGTTGTTATTCGTCGTAGACTGACTTCAGTTGGAGGAACATTGGGGATCTGGGAGCACTGAACAGCTGTTCCGTGTTGGTATGGACAGGTGCGCATTGCTGAGGAGTTCAATACTAGGACCTAACAGCTGTTTCGTCCTCCCAGGTTCACAATGTTCCTCCAACTGAAGTCAGTCCGCGATGAATACCAACTTGAAAATCTCTAAATCTCCGCAAACCCCCCAGATTCAATATAACTATGGGTACTACTGTAATAATTTGTAACCTCTCATTAACCGTCGTTGAATCTGTCGTTGTGATTTACAACTGCGCTGTGACTGCATGTGTCCGTCTTAACCACTGACTAATATTCTCTTTTCTACCAATGAATTAAGGATTTTGTCTTAGCTCGCCGTATACTATCAGTATGAGAATAAACCAGTAACCCATAAATTTTGCATAGGTAAACACGCCGACCATCTCAGTTTGGTTTATATATATAGGGAAATCTGGTAATGCTCCTTCCATAAGTTCACCTAGGAAAACCTTGTAAAGACTTTTACTTCTTGTAAACAGTCAAAGTAGGTCGTCTTCTCTGCATCAGTCGAGTAGCAAGCCACTCCACCGACACCAATCCGACGACTTCACTAAATCATTCAATTGGTAGTAGCTAAGAGCGGCATTGCTACTAACGTAAGTGAACCTGCAGAAGGATCATTACCAGATATCCCTATAAAGTTTATTAGGTTTTCGGTTAAACTATATATACTGATACCATCGAAATAAAGTGGATCCTTTTTATACTGCTCCTGTCGTTGTTTCTACTCTTTTCAAATCCCTTTGTGTGCGGATATAGTTTTTATTTCTTATCCACCACAAAATCTCACAGGACAGAACCACCAATTATGAATTGTGATTGTGAGTTTCGGTCCATGTTGACGTAGAAATATGATAAACTAGTGTGGTATCATGGCGTACAAAGCAAAAAACAGATTTAGGGATCTGAACAACACGAATTGTAAGCGATTTATCCTTTCTTGAAAAAAAACGTCTACTTTTTCAAGTACGAAACATCCCAACTGAAAGTTAGTAAAGTTGCTTATTTTAGTGGAGAAATCACTTACTACTCACCAAGTAGGAAGTAGTACTGTTGCACTGGATGTATTTTTTGTCCCACGGCACGTTGATTGAATCGGCTGATAAGAATTTGTTCTTTGTGTACCTGAATGACGAAATACAAAGAAGAAAGGTTTTATTAAGGGGTACTAACAAATACAGACATTGGAAATAGACAATTCTTAGCCTCATTAAACCAGACTACTAACAAACTACTGAAATAACCAGTCACCACGTATTGTATTGCCTTTATCCTGCTGATTACACCTGTTGACCACAGTTGACAACTGTGGTCAAATATTGTTAGGCATTGTCGAAGGCACCCAACAGAAACTGCTTCCATACTCACTAACACTAATCAATAAGATGTTACCTCAAAGAGACTGGTAGCATTTCTTAGATAAGAAATGCTGTTGCGAATTTGTATAGATGCATAACTTTCGGTCTGCAGAAGAGATTTCTTTCCTAATAATTTTGACCATCTAGATGTACACACTGACATCTCCGAATTGACTAAGTTTATATAGAAGACTGATGGCATTTCAAATATATTTATGCAGATTATCATGAATTCTGTCCTTGTTAATGGATTTCAAAAAAGCTCTTCCATAGGAAAAGATTGACCCGGCCCAAAGTAAGTTGTTTCTTCGAGCTCCGTTTACGCAACAAACTCTCTATTTCAAATTCAACCAACAAAGATTGCAGTAGTGTAGACAGTTTGTAGCTCACAATGAGAATGATATCTATCTGATATTATCCCAGGTTTCTTCTTTGATCTTCAAAGTTTCGTCAGACAGATCATAACTGCACTTGAAGAGGTAAGAAAATATGAATGAATGAATGAATGAATAAAATGTCTTCCTCATGTTTGTTTGCAAATAAAGTATCAACTTGTAGGAAATGAGCTGCAGTCACCATTTACTCATGGCCTCATTTCACCCTTTCTAAATGACTCTACATAAACTAGGGCTTTTCATGTAATGACCAATTAAATCAGAAATACTTACAATTCCAATCTATTTATTCTCTTATGTCACTCTTCACTAATAAAGTATTAGAAAAATCTCTATTTTAAGGGATACCATTGGCTCTGTAGTAAGCATTTAGCTGTTTGAACACTAACCCTTACTCCGAAGTCTGATATCTTCATATCATGCAACTTATGGTCAGCACATTACAGCTGCTTACATCCAAACATTATGATCCGATTTACCCAACAGACTGATTTGGACGTTGTTTGCTAATGTTCAGCAGTTTACTGTTGATAAGTGAATATAGTCTGTGCTTCTGAATGGTCAGTAAATAACAATGTACAGTGAGTGTAATTATGTGATGAGTGGAATAGATGAAGAACAAGTATAACCAAGCACTGGATGTATTCTGTTATTGTTAGGTCAATGTGGAGAAATCGGTTGATGTTATGAGTTGAGAAATCACATTTGTGATAGAAGAAAATATTTGTGGACCGGTGTGAGGATGGTGACTGTTTAGTGTTATCTTTGTTTTTGTGTTTACTTTTGAAAGTTTCATCATGAGACTATGTGAATTGATTGAGAAATAATTCAGAAAGAAGTAGAGCTTTGCAATTTGAGTGAATGATTATTTAAGTGATTTACAGAGGATTGTTGGTGGGGGAGATTTTTCTGTCGCATATTGTTGTTGATACTTAAGGTGTCTATTTGAGTTATACTATTGACCTGGTGTGTTATTGCTGATTGGCTTGAATAGTTTCCAATAGATTGGTCGTTTCTTGTCAGTGTGCATATTAGGCTAATGTTCACGTACGTGTTGATTGTCTTTTCATTGCAGTAACATTTTTCAATCAGTCCTGTTGTAGTTAGTGTTCTCGTACATTGCAGAAATGCCAGTTTGTTTCAGTTGAAGTGTTGTCTGTTCTCGTCTGGACACATCGATATCAAAAATGATGCCTTATGTTGTTTAATTACTTACTGATGTTTATATCTCCTTTTGGCTGTTGGATGTCTGGACTGACAGACATAGTGGTTCAGATAGCTTTCCAACTATTTTTTAGACTGTGCTTATCTTTAATGTTGACTAATCACTGGGGGATAATTTATTTCATGTCATCTAGTCCTATGTTCTGGTCAAATTTCATCGATCATTTGCAATGTGGTCATGAATATAGGAGACTCATTATTGCGGTGTATTTTTGACTGTTGCTGATTGGTTGGAAACAATTATTAGAAAGCTGCCAACCTAGACTTCGTGCTTGTTGGCAATGTTTGCAGAAATGAGCCTGCGATTTGAAGAGAACTAGTGACACCTTATAGACTTGAAACTGCGTCACCAAGTGCTGCACTAATAAATGGCTTATCTTTGATCAGATTGTTTTCTAATTTTTTTAAAGATACAGTTCACAAGTTAGCTGAAGATTAAATGTAAATTGGCTATCGATTAAAACTGCTTCATTCAGTACAGAACTATCCTTGTCAGGGTAATACAAAGATTTATTGAGCCTCTTTACAGCTCCTAAGACATCCATGCATGATGATCGAGACACACGAAGAAGTCTTAAGCTATCGCTGCACTTCTTGTCACATAAGGTAGCTAACTCTTAAGCTTTCTTCGGACAGCTTACACTTTGCATAATAAACTGTGGTAATCTATTGCATTTGTAGCCTATATTCATCATAGCCATTCTATTCATTATCCAATAGATGCCTACCTGTAGGTCAAGCTGAATGATTTCTAACTACTCAAATTGTTCAGTAGTATATTCCATTAGTTCGTGATACTTGTGTTTCAGAGATCACACCTTCGGATCTTGACTGTTGGTTGATTTTTGACGGAAACATTGTTGACACCACAGATGGGAAGTTTAAAAACTACTCAGCTGGAAGAAATTTTAACGTGAATCTTGCTACTTATGAATTATTTTTGTAGACTTATCATCCCACTTCAGATATCAGACTCATGTAAGTCAACTGGCCAGAATATTTATCTGGTACACTGCTGATGAGCTCGAAGCTAACCGAATGAAGCGGCCGTCCGGTGTTTAGATCACTTCGATCTGGCCTAATTGGTTCCCAACTACTTAAGTTTTTCAGTGGTACATTTTGAATTATTGAGTTGTATCTGTAAGTGAGCGATTAACTTATCAACAATCATTAAATCTCGGTGGGAACAACATAACTCACTGAGAGGCAGGTATATCCAACTGACGAGTCCCAAACAGAATGTGATGCGCATCCTGGATTCCCTTGCTAGCGACTACTCATCATTACTATACATCATTTAATTGTGTTTGACATTTCAACGTATTATTCAAAGCACTTTGGTCATTAATGATGGTTTTGTGTTCTCTGAACTTTAATATTTTGTCGTGAACGTTTCACCGCAAGGCTTGGTAACATTTTCAGTACCTCAGCACCTCATCCTGAGGTGAAAATCCTTTCCATCATTTCAAAAACTGTAGTTATCCTTATTTATATGCAGTAATTAGTGTTCTAATTTTATGTGTACTTTCCGCTTGTGGGCTTTCCGTGAAATTTCTACAGTCATCTGAGTCGTCGGTTCATTTATTCGTCTAAGTTTCTGCTAGATTATAATTAAAATTCTTGATCTTCTTGTCTCAACCTACATTTATCAGCTGCTGTAAGTGATAAATGTAACTAATACTTGATCATTTTATTTCAAGTTTTGTGTTTCAAAAGTAATTTACTCCTTCCACCTCAAATAGTAACCGTTAGTCGTTATTCTAAACTTCTTTCTGGAGTATATTATTGATTGAAAAATAATGAATCAGAAGAAATACTTAAAAATTGGTTACAATTACAAAACAAATTCAGTCACCAACTAACCACTTGGTTATGATATGCTGAGTAACCTAAATTGCAACAAATTATATGACTCGTTGATTTCCTCTTATTGGTGACTAGCTTCAAGAGGTGATTCCCGAAGTCTCAATGAGAAGTAGTCACCGATAGGGCCAATCTAGTCGAATTCATCTCGGGCTCTGGATGGAAGTCGCACTATGTCATGAACTGAAAGAAGTAGAAAATATGGATCACTAGATTCCGACACATTGGCTCAATGGTAACGTACTGGCCACGTAAGTTGAAGGTCTTGGGTTCGATTTCCGACAGGGCCATAAGTGCCCACTGCTGAGGAGTCCTATACCGGGACGAAACACCCATCCAGTATTCCCATAATTCCATTGTTTCTCCACATGATGTGAGTCCATAATGAACACCAACTCAAAGTCAGTAAATCCCCACAAACCCCAAAATTGGATTAAAAATAAACCAGTTAATTCAATAAAATGTTGAGATCGATATTAATTGTGGTATAGTTCATATGCTAAGAGAAAACCACTACTTAACATTCGAATATACACTGGATTAAAAAATCATTTTTATCGTATCACCTTAACTGTATTGTTTTACTGTGTGCGAAATAAAAAGTTGTGCGGAATTCAATCTACTATATCAGGTAGTTAAAATCATTACTAACTTTTCTAAAAAGTAGAAATTTCATTATTCATTGAAATTTGTGATTTCCCGTTATGATTCTGAATCAAAGTGACTGATGTCTGTTGACATATGAGCTCGTATGCGGATGTCCCATATATCTCCTGATTATTCATCATATTGTAATTTGTTTTGATAGTCACTAACAGCAGAATCTGGGACGTTGCTTTTCATCCATATGCCAAGAGAGATTGATCAGTTTAATCCAGAATAACGACGAGATATTACAAGTATCAATAAATAATAATAGTAACTGATGCCCATTGCAAACGAGGGGTCTTTCATGCCTCAGTGACCTAGTGGATAACGTTGGGTGAGTACGAGATTCGAGTCTCAATAGAAAGAACATCACTCACTGAAGTGAAGTTACATCCAATTACTGAGTCCCGAATAAGGCGAGATATGAGTCTTGGATTCCACTGCTAGCCAGCATCAAGCAAATTACAAGGTAAAGATTTGAGCTATAGTTCATCAAAGGTGTACAGGTGTATAAAATATGCAGTGATAAAAGTCTAACGGATGAATTCAGTAAACGGTAGACAAAAGACGATTCTTTCAGTAAAAAGATAAATAAAATGAACAAATTAGATTGACATCAGGATTTGAAGCAAAAACA